GTTTTTTAGAAATCATTCTAAACGAATATTTAATAAAAAAATATTAAATAAATGTTAAATAAATATTTTTTCCAAAATGATTTTAGAAAATGAAAAAAAACATTTAAAAAATATTGTGTGCTGATTGGGTAAGTATTTGCAAGAATTTCAGAAATAGAAGAGATTTTAAGATTCATTTCATTAAATCAATGTATGATAATAAAATGTAATTTAAATCTTATTTTTCTGAAATTGTTGCAAATACTTACTGTTATCCAAATTACCCTACTATTCAAATTGTCCCACTGTACTCTGTAATATTATTTTCATAAATAATTTTTTTGGGACATATTGTATATTATATCATCGTAAAGTAACAAAATGAGAAACTTAGTTTTAGTGCAGCTATAAAAATATATAAATTTTTGTGAGAAAAATTACGCTAAAGTGCTGCTGTACTATGTATAATACATATGTATGTACATAGTATATAGAAGTACATTTAATAAATAAACTTCATACATAACATATGAAACGTACTTTTTATTATGTACAGATATTATCTATCTCCCTCTTGTGATAAATTTACAAACAGACAATTATGCTTTAATACGTTCCCTCATTTATTCACAATTCCCGCATTATTTGCAATTTATTAAATTATACAATAATATTAATATAAGAATATGATTTAATTATAAACTGCTCGTTTTGTAATTAATTAATTAATTAATTAATATATTTATTGATTCCTCTCGGGGGATTACAATTTCCTACAGTCACACTGCTTGTTTTGTAATAAAATATAACTTATATCCAGCGACAACTGTTATATTTTACAAAATAACTGATTTATACATTGTATTATAAACGTAAATCATTTAATTATATATTCTTATTTAATATGTAATATATATATTACTATTATTACTATTACTGCGCACAAATTATTGCTCACTTGTTAAGTGTGCTTTATCATTTATTCTTTGTTGCGTTTTAATATCGCAACTATTATAACTGCGCACTAATTATACTGCTATTCACTTATTAAGTATGCATTAATATTCTTTTACAACCGTTGTATCGCAACGTTATCTTGCATACAACAACTGATAATTTGTATCACGGAGTTGTGGGCAAGAATTAATACGTCAATACAATAGTACTTGACCATTATATCTTTTACTGCAATAATATCTAATCTGAACATGCGATAAAAAATAATTTGAAACGCAATAATTAATATTTTCTGTAACCAGGCCTGATTTGCATAATTAAAAAGTAAGAGAACGTAATGTTCATAATTCTTGAAATAAATGAAATATTTTCTCAATGTCCTAGGAAATTTTGCGTTTTTCAATATTTGTTATCTTTTAAATACAACTTGTGTTAAGGTATCATTTAAAATTAAAAAATACAAATAAAAGCATTAATCTTGTAGATATAATTAAAAACAATAAAAAATCAACAATCAATTACAAAATTCTGTGCAATTGAAAAAAAAGAAAAAAAAGCAAAAAAAAGAATAGATGAAAAAAAAATCTCCTATTCAATTAAATCGGCCGCACAAAGGCCCAAACGCCACCCTCTACAGCGGGAAGGAAAGACGAAGCTGTCAGCTTTAATGGCAATTTTGTCTTTGGGGAAAGCTCTAAGCTGTATTTCCTCAGAAACGTAGCCAGACACGCTTTTATCTGCAGCAGACCCATTCTCATTCCCACGCACATTCGCGGTCCTTCGCCGAACGGAAGAAAGGAAAATTTCTCGATACTGTTCTTTCTGTCTGGGCCGAATCTATCGGGATCGAACTTTTCGGGATTCTCCCATAATTGTGGGTCTGCATGCAGGCCGCTAACGGGTATTATGATGGGCGTTCCACGTTCCACGCGGCAGACAAGTCCGTCGGAACCTTTCAACTCGGTATCCTTTGTGCAAAGCTTGTTCAGGAATCCTAATGCGGGTATGATCCTCTGCGATTCATTTATCACCTGATCCATGTACGTCATTTCTTTCAAGGCTTCGTATGCGATTACACCATCGTGTTTGTTAAGCACCGACATCACTTCCTTGCGTAATTTCTCCTGCACTTTTGGATGAGTGGCCAAATTGAAGCCGATGAAGTTTAAAACGATACTGGAAGTCTCGTAGCCGTCGACGAAGAATGACAACGCGTGGGACGCGAGAACATCTAGGTCAAACGTATCACCCTCCGTCCGTTCTAAATTGGCCATCAGCTGGAGAAAGTCGTTTCTAGGTGTCGTTTCCTTTCTTCTTTGCTCCATAACGTCCGCAACCAGATTTCTAAAGAAATTGTCAGCCTTTTTCGGTAAGAATCTCGCTCTCAAAATTTTGCTAAGCATTGGGAAGAAGAACGTAATAGTGAAGACAAGGTTGTTCCAAACAGTCGGCTCGAGGAAGGACTTGCCCATCGTATAAAAAGACTCCTTCTCTTTGTCATCGTCGAAGCAAAATCCATCCACGCCAAACCCAGCGCCAGATACTACCTGCGCGGTGAATCTGGAGAATAAGTTCTTTAGTTCCAGCTCTATTTTCCCGGTTTTTTTAAGCTTCCTATCCAGGTAGTTGTCGAACGTCGTGCACACTTGCTGAACGCTCTCGAGTAGAAATTTCAGTCGCGCGCTGGAGAACGCGTAGGTCAAGCGCTTTCTCGCGGTCACCCACGTGTCACCGTAGACGAAGAAGGGATTGCTCGCCAGAAGTGGATCCAAATCGGGATCGATCTTGAAGCCATTCTCGTGGAAATTCGTAAAGCTCGTCGCAAGCACGGTCTTCACCAACTCAGGATCGCGGACCATCAACGTAGGTGTCATACAGTTGTAGAATCCCACCAGGCTGTGATTTCGATTAGCATTGTATAACTCGCGACAAAACTCGGAGATATTTGTCTTCTGTGTGATAATTGGCCAGAAGTGACCGAAACCAGGCACGACGCCGTCCGGGCAAGATATTCCACGTTTCTGCCAGTATTTATAATTTTTTGTCAGGAAGAGATAGCAAATCACCAGAGCTATGAGGCTCAAGAACACAAGCGTGACAGCCATTTCTGCTCTCGAGGACTGAACTAACAATACTAAAAGTTTAACGTTCAAAAAGCTCTCTCAAACGAGTTATAAAACACAACTGCGCAGAAGCAACTGAACTTCCCACATGCAGACGGTACAGAGTACACTGCAATAATGATCATAACAGGATAAGAGAAATTATCGTGTATGCGAAGTATGTTACGCAATGTTCGTTATGCAATTTATTATGAAATTTATATCACACTCCGTTAAATCACACACGTTACTCGTTAGATAAAGATTTAAGATTAGATAAAATCTAATCTTAAAGGTTAAAAATAATTTTCGAATAAAACTTCTCATTTTTATATTACAGTTAAGGTTTATCTTGACATTGATATTGAGACTATTATTAGCTGCTACCGACGCTGAGATTCTTGTGCGCCACCTTGTATTCAAATCTAGAACAAGTGATTGAACAGTGCAATTTCTGAATATTATTCAATAAGGAAATGATCCATATATATTGTATTTTTAGCGATTAACAGTTTTTATTTCAATGCTGTCAATATATTTATATTTAGTTGAGTCTAAAGATGGTATCGAAAAGAAAAGAAAAAAAGTAAAAGAAAAAATTAAAGAGAATGATATAATTTTAAGGGGGAATACCACTGTGACGGCCGAAAAAAAAGGCTATTTTCGTGAATTTTTTTTTGTAAAAATTAATAAGTTGTATGAACTATTAGCTTTATATATTAATAATACATATATTTAAGATTGTATAAAAAAAATCATAAATTAATATTAATATTTGTGGTCACCATGTTCGATGACGTAAACCACCATTGGAAAAACATGGGTGCACGGGCGCCCGTGCTGCGTCTGAACGGGATCTCTGAAATAAAAAATTCTTTTTTCATTTTAAAGAATATGAGTGTAGTTTTAGTTGCACGTACGGATTTTTTGAAAAAATAATTTTCAACAAAATAGCATTATTTTAAAAAAAGAGTTCGCTATTTTACAAGAAAAATCGTTACTTTTTTAATTGTTTTTTAAAAAATAATAATCCGATTGAAAAAATTGTACGTGCAACTGAAGACAATGTTGTTGTGAACATTCTATCCAAATGTTATGTTAAGTCGATCGGATAAAAATTGGCCAAGATATGCGAGCGCCCAGCTACGAAAACGTGGTTTCGAGAAAAACGCGTTTAAAGTTTTCCGCGGCCGGGCGTATATATCTGAACACGTGCTATTTTATTACATATTTACTATAGTTCCATTGTAAATTTCAACATAATATTTAAGGTACATATTTTTAAGCAAAAATCAAGCTCAATCAGCTCAAACAATACAAAAATGTAAAAAAAATCGATTTTTTAAACTCGTCACAGTGGTGTTTCCCCTTAATTATATGTATAACTGATATAAGTATATATTTTGTTATAACAGTTAAGACAATTGTTATATGTCCGTTTAAAACACTAAAAATAGATATTCTACACGAAGTGAGTAAACTTCCAATTTGCAAATTGTAAATTATAATTTCTGTTATTAAATATGCAAATTAAAAATTATAAAACAAGTCCAATCCGAAAACAGAAGTACTCATTTATGTGTACTTCTGGCTGAGGTAATATTTTTCGCAATAAGTTCTTTTTAGTATTTTAAGATGCTTATGAGCATCAATTGATTAGGATCAGTATATTTCTATTTCAGCCTCAAATAATAATTGCATTGCAAGTGCGAATATTTAATCCATGTGCAATTTAACGGCTGTACATGGAATTAAGAAAATTCATATAGAATTCGTTAAACATTTAAGTTCGACTGTATAATTAAATTAAATTAACATCGCATTCTGCAAGCTATCAAACGTATCGAATCATTTACGCCATTTACAGTTTTGTTATTCAATATTCTAACAAATAATTCGATTATTTTAGTAAATAATAGTAAAACAAATAATGTCAAACAGGAGAAAGAGGGTATTGGGACAAAGGAAGGAATTAAAAGTACGGCATCCTCGTGATCAGTTCAGATTTAAAGGATTCTATTGAACGTTATTTGGAGAGGCTGTAACGTGAATAATTTAAAATGACTTCATTTTCCACAGATCCACATTTGTTTGCAAGACCAGGCAAGATTGTTGGTAAGACCAATTTAATTATTTAATTAGCTACATACGCGTAATAAGAAACATTTACACATTACTTATCACTTACATATTTCTTCATTTCTGTTACAATTATTAGAATTCGCACGTGTAATTCATCCATTTCGACTTAAGTGTGAATCTTCATCCGAAATTTTTTAAAAGAAAAGTGATTTTGACTATAGAAGAGAAACTTTCAATTACCGAAGTAGTGAGTACATTTTCATCTACAAATGATTTTGACTTTTTTTTAGTATTTAATATCGAATCAGATTTTAGATTGTCACTACGCTCTTAAAATTAGAAGTGTTGAAGATGTTATAAATTCTGGGACACCTTTACGATATACTATTGAACCGTATCATAAGAATCTTGGAAGTTCATTTACTATACAGTTACCACAAACTGTTGAAGCTAACAATAAGTAAAAATATGTCATTTTGTAGTTGCTGAAAATTATTGATGCAAGAATTGCGTCAATAATTAAATAATTAAATATCTATGATATACAATATGATACTTTTAGATGTAAAATTGAAATTGTATATGAGATACAAAAATTTTCTTTTGCATTACATTGGCTAACATCTGCGTAAACTTCCAATGATAAACGTTTCTTACTGTCAAACTACAAGATAAATTGTAAATAAATGAAACAATTAATGTATGTCAAAGTGTATTGCATAATAATTTCTAATCTTTCAGCTAGCATATGCAAGAGCTTGATTTCCATGTCAAGATACATCATCTGTCAAATTTACGTTTTCTGCAAAAATAAGAATCTAAATGTAGATAAGCAATTATATGTGTTTTGTGTTCAACAGTTGCGTAGACATCGAGAAAGAAGCAGGCACTCGCATTTCCGCCGTGTAGTAGTACAGATCTTATTCTGATAGTTTTCTTTTACGTTTCCCACGTACTAAAGTGTATAATCTGCGATAGCAAATATACTGTGTTTTGGCTACGTTCATATTACCTCCTTCTCCTGACCCAACTACCGTTCCCCTCTGTTATTCGCTCTACCTGACACTCTACGATTTATTCCTCATTCTTTGAGCCTTTCCGTTTCCTCCCGACAATCAACGTCTGGCAACGTGGCTCGAAAAATAAGTACTCAACACCTTACAGCATCAGAAACTTATAATCGTTAAAACCAGATTTCACTAGTTATTAGATTAAACTAGTTTTAAATTTAATTAAAATGAGGTCTATGATTGTACTGTTTCACATGGATTTTCGACTTTTCACGCGTAGGTCCAACCATCTCTCCTCCTCTGTTTATTGGATGAAACGAGATTTATAATTGTACGTTTTTTATTTTACGTCTAATCAACCATTCTAGTTTTAACTAATGAATTCGGGTTTTAACGAATTATGAGTTTTGACGGTAACATATGCATTCCATATGTATACGTTTACATAAAAAGCAATTACGTTTGACTTATTGTTATTGACATTATTGATAAAAGTAATATTAATTTGCGAAAAAGATAATTAGTGAAAATAAATTTTAATGCTTTGTAATGTATACGCATTACGCAGCCCATATTCTCTTATACAGCCCTAATTAAATTAAAATTGAATTATCTTTTAATTGTTGTTGGCGCATATTTTACAGATTACAATATCAAAAAAACAGTTATAATGTCTGCACAATTGGAAAATGTAAGTTTTAGAAATAATTCTAAAATATATAAATTCCGTCAAACAAAACCAATACCGTCTTATGCGGTGGTAATTGCTGTTGGTTCTTAATAAAGCAAAAATTGGTTCAAGAAGCACTGAGTTTGCCGAAAATAAATTTATTTCTAAAAGAGTCAAGTCGCTTGTAGAAGTTAAGAGAATACTGCAGATTGCCGAACGCTTATGTTGATCTTATCCCTGGGATAAAATATTAACTTAATTGTTTTTTAAAATTGTGTTTCAAATTTTTTCCTTACATTACCAATCTTATATTTGTTTATTATTATTTTGTTTAAGATATTATCATTACATTTAGAATAATAATATTTCTAGATAAATACGATATATGCTTGCTATCACAAAGTATCTCACATCTAGAAATAGAATGTCCATGCGTTGCATTTGTGTCGCCGTCTTTACTTGATGAAGATATTTCTTTAGTTAGCTCAATCGGTCGGAATATCGCAAGCAGGCAATTTAGTTACATGTATAAGTTACGATCATTTGTGGTTAAATAAGAGTTTCGATACATTTATTTACACAAAGATTATAAGAGAACTGATTGATCGAGAAATGAAAATATTTTTCATGAGGAAAGGATGTTATATACTAAACTAAAAAACATGGTAAAATCTCTTATTCTTCAAAATAAGAAATTTTGTTTTGATATTGAGAAAATATTTTTCTTAAACCTGTTATATAAGTCTGATTTGACTGTAACTAAGATAAACATAATGTCAACTTTTTATAAGTTTGAAGCCCAAAATTGTGAAATACGGTAAATATGAGTATGCGATATCAGACTATTTTATAACGCTTATTGTTAGTGCACGTATATGTCACAGGTTTGCTTGGTTACGTTTGTGTATTAAAAATTGATGCGAGGAAATGGTTTCAGCTGCTATGGATTTTGCTTTTCAATTTTGTTTACTGAAATATACATGTTCCATATATATTTAGAGATTTATGCAAATGGTCATCAAAGATGTGTGAATTAACGATGTTAACATATTACCGCAATGTGTTCAACCGCAATTACTTCAACGTGTTGAAGTTCACAGATGAAACGAAGGACGCTATATGTCAAATTTTGTTTCAAATTGTTACATAACTCTTTAATATCAAATTTAATTTTTTTTATATAAGATAAGTAATTAGTAATTGCATAATATTATTATAAATAAACATTGTGTAAAAGTTATTGAATTGTTTATGGAACAAATATATGAAAAATAAACTTCTATATCACGTATTTTTTATAAGATAATTTCGTTGAAAATCGTGAGAAAATTTAAAAAGTTGCTTATTATGTCTGTGAATTGTGGAACCAGCGATTCAAGGCGGCTAAGTTTGCAGCAATATATAATAACATGTTGTATAACAACATGTTGTTGTTGGATCGTCAAAGATCTCAAAATTTATAATAAAAGGACATATGTATTAAACGAATATTATGTAATTTATTGTGTGTGTATGTATTAAAAATACATATATGCATGTGCTCTTCATAAAATTGCATTGATAATATTATACATATAAGGACCTTATTATGGCCCTTACATATCGACTATACATAATGCTTCAACTGAGCTATCAGCGAGCTCTTGATGTATAGATGTCATAGAATACCTAAATAATTTCTCGATGCTTTTCTATAATCAGTTGCATCAGTATAACTTGCAATTTATTTATTTGATAATAAAATTTCTTATAAACAATAATTATAACAGTAATTATTACCTGTTATTGAAAAAAAAATTATAGTATACATATCGCTTACATTAAAACATTCGGCTTCTTTATAACGTTTCATTTATAACTTTGTTTTATACAATTTCAATTAGTTTTGAATAAATCGACTGCATTTATAGTATTTATTATAGTATTTATACTCTTTCAAATGGCAAAGTACCTCAAACTTTTTGTAATTTTTATACTTATTTAAAACTCCATTAAAAACTGATAAAAAATTGATTAGGATGTTTTATTCCCTCCTTGAAAAAATTTTGGCTTAAAAATGCGAGGAATGTTAAATTCGTATTTTAGAAAGAAACAAAAATAACAAAATTTATTAACTTTGAAAGAATAAAAAGTTGTAATGATCTAAAAAAACAGATTGTTTTAAACTAGAAAGAATGGTTTCTGGATTATTTAAATAGATCAGATAAACAAGATTTACAACAATTGACGCTTGATAACTGTAAAATTCCTGTGTGCTGATGATTTTAAATGGCCGTTGCAGTTAAAGTATAAGTAAAAAATTTTTAAAAAATTGGTTTTTGAGTCATTTTTTAAAAGTGTGAAACGTTTAACAAATAGAAAACATATTAAACGATATATACATATATAAAATGGCACTTATATGTTTAATTAGATGCTAGTAAAGCCTGTTGGTTTTATTAATATCCAGTCCAATACACAGTTCTACAGTGTGAATAATTTTTATTTTAAATACAAAAGTATCGAAACTATAGTACAGAATGCAACACATTTAAAAGATACATGTTTAATGAGTTATTTTAATCTCCGGTAAATATTTTGTTGACACGGATGTAGACAATACATAAATATCTAATAGATATTCTTTAAGAATAGAAAAAGTAGAACGATAAATACAATAGCACACGATAAAATTTTTGGCAGATCCTATTGGTTCCTATCGTTTTCTATCGATTTTTTTTTAATATCGTTGATTGATATTGTTATTTAATTTGCGCTCTAGGAAAGGTTTCCTCTCAAACACAAACAGTTACAATACTTACAATTAATAAAGAAAAATAACAAGAAATAATACAATGAACAGAGCAGATTAACAGTGTTAGAAATAAACGCAAAAATAACAAAAAAATAAAAAATAAAGCAAACAACAGAAATTACAAGCAATCATCAACAATAATTGACTAGTTCACAGGCCGAACAAATATACAGACGCAGAAATAGATTGATAAGCAAAATATACAAACGCAAAAATAGATTGAGAAGCGATTACCAAGCAAATAATTTTACAAGACAAAAGTTGGAAAAGAACTTAAATTATACATTAGTATAAGGCGAAGTAAGTAAAAAATTATATAATTTATTCTTAAAAATATTCAAAGACGAGGCATCACGAATGTCAGGGATGCTATTCCAAAACCTAGCTGCACCGGACCTGAAAGATCGTTTAAAGCATTCAGTTCGACATATAGAGGCAGAGAGAGTCTTGAGCACTGGTCGATCGTACAGATCGAATGCTTCTGTACTCAAAACTCCGGTGCAGATAGATAATAGAAAGTTATTATCCGATTGGCAGTTTGCACATGCATTTTTCAGTAAAGTATCTTTATACAACATAACTTTAAACTCAAATTAATTATCATTCAACAGCCAGCTTTTATTATCGAAACTGTATAATAAATATAATATATATATAATAAATGAGCCTCTATTATTCGAATCATTCGATTATCGAAACTATCTTAAATTGTCCTCCGACATGTTCGGATAAATGGAGTTTATGGAGTTCTATTATAATCTACTCGTTTTTACATTTATAAAGAAGTATTAATTTTGTCAATTAATTCAAAAAAATTGTTTAACTGACAAAAATTATAAAGAATAAATAATGAAAACATTCCGAAAATTAAATTAATTCAATTGTCGATGCATCAATTAATTTGTTTAGAAATATATATGTATACTAGTCTTCTATACATATATCGATCTATATTTATTAGTAATTTAAAAAATTTTTTAATGTAATTAAAATGCAATTCAAGAATAATTAAAATTTTTATTTTTAAAATTTTTATTATATGTATATTAGTTTTACAAAATTAATAAAATGAACATACTATAATATATATTTAATTTAATATGCATCCAAGCTGCTAAGTATAAAAAGCATAAATAAAAAATTCATTAAAGATAGGCGGAGTTACATATTTATTTAACAAAATATTTATTTTTAATATTTGTGGACCACATATATATGCAGTATCTGCTGTCAACTAATGCCCGCCACTGAACTACAGTCGAACCTCGATAACTTGAATCTCAAGGAAAGAGAAAAAACCTTTTGAGTTACAGAGTTTTCGACTTATTAAAATTCGTGTAAAAAAGAGTTAAAATGCGAAAATTCGACTTACGGAGGCTTTGTGGGAGAATTTATAATTTTTCAATTATAATGGCTTTTAAAGGAAAAAAAATCAATATTTAACAGTGAATTATTTATTGCATACATATAATAAATGTAATCGTAAAACAAAATATCAGGCTGTTATCATGGTTACACGATACAGCTATAACTTCGAATTATAGAGTCATAAACGGAGTATGGAGCATATGCAAAGTCCACAGGCCAAAAATCTGGCATGTGGAATTTCCACATGCAAGATTTGAGAAATAAAAATTGAAATTTGTGCGAATTTTAACAAATGTAAATAGTGATAAGTAAAGACTACGGGCTAAGGCCTTGCTTTAATTGATTAATTAATGCGTGGCAATAATGCATGTTCACAAAGATTTTGCACGACTATTAAACATAGATATTTTAATGGACGAGTTTATTTGTCAAAACAGCGCTCGAAGAATGTCGTTCGCAGTTGCAACTCAGTAATAAAATATATTTATACTTATTAATTGTACGGGCATACTACATGGGCTGAAAAGTTTCCGGAATTGAATACAAGATAGCACCATATACAAAAATTAATCTTATGGCTGCCGAATATATTCCTTCAAACCTCCGCTGTCAAAATTTCGTAACATTTCACCGAATAGTTTGTGAGTTACAGTCATTTGAACAAGTCAACTTTCGAATTCTTAAAAAAATGGAAAAAACCGAAATTCGTGCAGCGATAAAATATCAATATTTGAAAGGCTTAAAACTTCAAAAAATCATTGAAGTCATCGATGATTTCTTGAGGTTTTAAGTCTTTCAAATATTGATATTTGATCACTGCACAAATTTCGATTTTTTCCATTTTTTAAAAAACTCAAAAGTTAACTTGTTCAAATGACTGTAACTCATTTCACTGCATGAATTTTGGTTTTTTCCACTCTTTAAAAAACTCAAAAGTTGACTTAATTGTTCAAATGACTGTAACTCACAAATTATTCGGTAAAATGTCATGAAATTTGGACAGCGGAGGTTTGAAGGAATATATTCGACAGCCATAAGATTAATTTTTGTATATGATGCTATCTTGTATCCAATTCCGAAAACTTTTCAGCCCGTGTAGTATATTTGTACATATACAAAAAAAATATTAATCCAACATTAACTACCCCTCCACCCCCCTCCACTCACGATGTTGGTACTCCACGTGCCAAAAAATTATAAGTCTCCGTCCATGGAGGCAGCGACAATAAAAGTTCAACTTATAGAGGTGAATTATATAAGCTTCAACTTGTAGAGGTCTGGCTACTTTAAATTCGAGTTCCAGATGTAAAATAATATATATCTAAATATCTGACAAATAATTCGAGTTAATAAGGTAGGTTTTATTTCGATTTATAGAGATTTCCGCAGTGGAGCAAAAAGGAATGAACAAAATTTTCGTCTTAGAGGTTTAAATTTCGAATTTGTAGAAGGTTCGAGTTATCGAGGTTCGAGTTATCGATGTTCGACTTATAAATAGTGGCCCACGAATGCGCAATGGGTAAGCAGTACAAGTGCAACAGTGCTCTGAGTCAGCTGAGTGCGCAGCAATGTGCATTGCGCAGCGTCGCATGGTTTCACCCGGCGATTAAATATAGCGATGCTAATTGCATCTAACGTTTTTATCAATATAATGAGCACATGGAAGTTGGTGCAGCGACGGTGTTACGACTTGCTCTCGTATAAATACTCATTGCTCGTGATATTGGTGGCGTTTACTTGCATATTCATCGGCATAGTGCACTTTGGAGAGGTTAGAATAACATTTTTTGTCTTTTTTTGTGTGAATGTCGTATATAATTACCATCCATCTAAATGACAATCGAAATTTATATTTTAAATCATCTAGTCTTTCGATATGTTTTGTTCGGCATATATAAAAGATGTGAGGGTAGATATATCGGCAAGTGTTTCTTAGAACCTAAACTTAACCTAAGAATCTAAAAACTACAAATAAAAAATGAAAATACAGATGATAAAACTTATAATATGACTAATTGTAAGAAAATAATGTAGATATAAGTATAGTGTGCAATAATAAAAGAAATAAACTATACAGCAAAAAGATACAGAAACTGAATTAAAATATATATATATAATGTACACAATAATTGTCGACAATAATTTTTATATTACATTTTTTAATTCAGTTTCTGTATCTTTTTGCTGTATAATTAATTTTTTTTATTATTGCACACTATACTTATATCTACATTATTTTCTTAGTCATGTTATAAGTTTTATCGTCTGTATTTTAATTTTTTTATTTGTAGTTTTTAGATTCTTAGGTTAAGTTTAGGGTCTTAATGTCCATTTCTACCAATGTAGATTAACTTTAATCACGGTTTTATTTACTTTTTATTATTTTCCAATTCTTAAAAGTAGAAAAAGATATAAAGTAAGTTAAACCTGGATTAAAGTTAATCTACGTTGGTAGAAATATACATAAGCAACACTTGCCGATATATCTACCCTCACATCTTTCTATTGTGCAACTTCACATGTTGCTTATAACTGCTGCCGAGTAAACGGAAAATAATTAAAATTTTTAAATTCATTGAAATGGATTGGCCTCTGTGGAAATAAATGCATTTCTATCTCATAATACGAATGCAATATAATATTTTTACTATAATATTAAAATAATATAACATTTTTTGGATTTGATGGATTGAAACAATGCGTTTTCTGGTCACAATTTTTAATTAAATAATGTTCATGGTTCATTTTTATGGAAAACTATATTATAACCTATACTTTTTTAAATTTAATTAAATTGAAAAGCTGCATTTTCTATCTAGAATTTTGAATTAACCAGTATTCACAATTTACTTTTTAAAACTAAACTTATTTTTAGATTGAATGACATAGAAAATGTATAATTATCCTGTAAAACAACTCCTGTAAATGAATAAAAAGGCATTGGGCATTGAAATGGATTCAGATTTTCAGAAATACACATTCGCGAACGTTAAAATGAATTTTTTCAATCTATTTTAATCCATTTCCATTTACTGGATGCACATCAATAAAATCGTTATTGTTATTATTATTATTATTATTATTACTGTTGTGTTGTTATATTTAAATGCTATCTTAAAAAACTTCAATTAACATTTTGTCTCTCAGGTATGGTTGATATGGAGCAAGGAAAAGTACGAGGCGGTTTTCCATTCCTTCAACGACAATATCCTAGGAAAGTCTTTCCAAAAAAAATTGTGCCAACACGTCCCCATAGATGTGGTTTACACGTGGGTGAACGGCTCCGATCCAGCGTTTCTAGAGAGCTTTCAGCAGCACGTCCCCGTTGTGGATCTCAGTGCCGCGGCCTCGAGATTCAGCGATAAAGACGAGTTACGCTACTCGTTGCGGTCGTTGGAAATGTATGCGCCCTGGGTGAGGCACGTTTACATCGTTACCAACGGCCAAATACCGAGCTGGCTCGATATGGACAATCCACGGGTGACCCTAGTCACTCACGAAGATATTTTCCTGAATAAGAGCGATTTGCCAACTTTTTCTAGTCCTGCTATTGAAAGTCATATTCATAGGTGCTTGGAAATATGTGGATTACATTACACGTGCGTGACGGACGGCGCATCGTGCAGACGAGCAATTAATATCCCTCTTCCTCCAGGATACCCGGAGTCTCCGATAAGTTTTTATATTTTAACGACGACGTTATGCTGGGTGCCGAAATCTGGCCGGAAGACTTCGTGACCCAAGCGGGCGGACAGAAGATCTACCTGGCGTGGTGGGTTCCCGATTGCTCCGAGATCTGCCCGTGGGCATGGGTCGGCGACGGGTCGTGCGATCACGCTTGTAATACGACATTGTGCGAGTTCGATGGTGAATATAAATTATCTTTTTATAATGAGATTCCAGCAAACGCCGACTAACAGTAACATAATTTTCGACTCAACGAGACTATAACTGTTAAACGGGAACTGTTCGTAAAAAAGTATTCAGCATTTGTACGGTAGATGGTTATTAAATCTTTCTTTTATTTAGTTATTAAATATTAATTATTTAATCACACCATACAGAGTACAAAAAGTTTTAAAGTAAATACATAGGTCAAAAACTTAATTGTTCCTGAAATATAAACAATTTTGTGTATCATGACTGACTTCTATATGTCGCGACGTAAAAAGAAAAAAAATAATCTTGCCAAATGTTTACCTCAAAATTTTCATAAGATGTTCCATATGTTCCAAGATTCCTCCTTCCATTTTCATGTACCGAACAGAAGTATAATCCCTTGTACAACTGAATGATTGCGATGAAATCTTTCTAAAGTGTGTGCGAAAATTGAATGAGGACATTCAGAACGCAATTTATGTAAATAATGAGGTGTTTATAAATTTTCACATTGAGTGCGATACGTAGAAGCCAGTAAGTAAGTCAGTTATGATACTAAAACATAAAATTACTTATATCTCAGAAACGATTGATGATTTTCAATCTATGTTTACTAATAGCGAATTCATTTCGATTGGTTGCGCACTCAGTGCGCATTAACGCCATTGTACTGTTTTTATCTTAATGTAAAAGTGAAATATCTCGAATAATAAAATGCCCATATTTTATCAAATATAACTCTATAAAGTATTAATATTAAGGATTTTGTGATTTAACTCTTTCTATATTTCTATATATATATTTCTATATTTCTATATTTATTATATTTATATTTCTAACTTTCTATATTTATATCAAACACACATTTTTATGTCGATTTATGTACAGTTGGTAGGTTTTAATATTTTAATATGAATATACATTAATGTAAACCAACTAAATTCACTATAATGCTTTTTTACTCAGTATATCGTGTATTATCTATCAATACTGAATACTTTTTTGTGAACATCCTGTATAACTATTATGTGTTATATTATTGAGTATATTGTTGAGTAGGAAATTATAACTAATAATAACTGTTAGTCAATGTTTACTGGGATAATACACGTGAATACGTTTTTTCATATATGTATTATCTAAAAAAAAATTTTTCCCCCGATGGACAGGCGGAGATTGTCAAACGACTGATGTTCCTGTAGATAGCGAGATAATGGAAGAGGAAGACGATTATCCGTACAAGTATCTGCAAGATTTTAGTGAAAATAACGAGTTGAAACTATTAAGCATCTTGCGCAAGAAAAACGTCGTTCATCCATCGCGAAAGAATGCACTGGTGTCTACAGTTCGAACGTATAATCGTTCGTATGATCTGAATACCACTTCCACGTCGATCCATACGTTTCGCAATAGCGGAAATAGCAGTTCTAGGGAATTGCAGACGCGTGATATGAAATTTAACGATGGAAAATATAAATCAACGAGAGATCTTAAGCCTGTATATTCCAAATTTTTACACGCTTTGAACAAAACTGCATATCATATGAAACGATTGAAACGTTACCGCAACAACATGAATGCGGTGCAGTCCAACAATTCTATTAAGTTCGACAGATTCGCGTATCCCAATCATTGGAAGCGTAACGCGCGAGGGCTCGACACTTACGCGGAGTCTTTGCTGTACGTTAATAAGATATACAACGCCGCATACGGCTTCGAGCGAAGGAGGGTACCGGCGCATATGCCGCACTTGGTAGACAAATGGATCGTGAGTAGCATGCAGGAGAAGTTTGAGCTTGAATTTAAGAAAACGTCTAGTCATAAAGTGAGAAATCTCGAGGACATGCAGTTTGCATTTTCTTACTTCTACTTTCTATCCAGCGAAAAACGAAGAGTACCGGTCGGGGAGATGTTCGACATGTTTGACACCGATAAATCACGGTAAGAAACAGCAAGTGTCATCTACGTAATTAAGAATGGTTTCACCTTTGCCGGCCGTAAAATTAGCCTTGTTTCGTGAATTTTTTTAAGAGAATTTATTATACACAGTAAAACGCGGGGTTTTGCATAAATTTATATATTGTTTGAACAGCAATAAAAATATTTTCTATTTATATAAAAATGTATTTTAATGCCTTTAAGCGATTGAATGTGGCATGTTTTTCGAGCTAACGGAAATAATTACGAATAAACGAATTAAGATATCGACTTGATTCTTTTTTCTTCTTCCTAATACTTTAACGCATGGCGTGAACTAAAATGATGTCAATTGTCTGAAATTTGTAAAAATGGTAGCATTTGAAAAAAAATTTTTTTTGCCCTAAAAATTTTGAAAATTTTTATTAATAACAAATTGAATGTTTGTTGTAAAATCATGATTTTAGTTCACGCCATGCGTTAAAGTATTAGGATCAAGAGGAAAAAAGAATCAAGTCGATATCTTAATTCATTTTTTCGTAATTATTTCCGTCAGCTCGAAAAACCTGTCACATTCAATCACCATTTGGAGGCATTAAAATACATTTTTATATAAATAGAAAATATTTTTTTGCTGTTCAAATAATATATAAGTTTATGCAAAAACCCGCGTTTTACTGTATATAATAGAATTCCTTTAAAAAATTCATGAAACAAGGGCTAATTTTACAATCGGCAAAGGTGAAACCCCCTTAAGGAAGGACTCTACACGATTTAAAAAAACACTGATTCAGTGATTTTTAAGAATTTTTTTTCAACTAAAATGAAAAGTTTAACTGTGTTTTACTGCATATTTGAGCAATGAAAAAAAATTTTGAATTAATAAATAATATATTTTTTGATAAATAATAGAATGTCTTTATAACGTCGCGCCACTGGAGTTGTGTACAATCTAAGAGACGTAATTTTCGTTTGAAATAAAAAAAACAAATTTTTTTCTTTAATTTTTATAAAATTATCTTCTATTTATTAAACTAATAATATTACTAATAATATTTAATAAAAAAATTAAATTAAACAATTTTTTTAAAAAAGTTCAAATTTTTTCACGCAAATTTTAATTTTTTTTTAAATTGTCATAACTTATTGAAATTATTGAAATTTTTAAAGTTTTGTTAGTTCATATAGAAGATAATTTTATTAAAATTAAGAAACAATTTGGTTTTTTGTTTTAGACAAAAATTACGTCTCCTAGGCTGCGGTCCGATTCATGCTCACAATGCTTTTGGAATACTTTCATCCTTGTCGTTAGTCGAATATTAAATAAAGACAAATGATGATCATGAGCGCTGCAAGCGTAAATCGGACCGCAGCCCTATATTGTACACAATCGAACAACTTCAGCGGCGCGACGTCAAAATATCGACGTTATCAAAATATTCTAGTATTTATTTAAAAAACATGTTATTTATTAATACAAAAATTTTTTTTATTGCACAAATATACAGCAAAATACTGTTATACTTTTGAAATTCACTTTCATTTTAATTAAAAAAAAAAAAATTCTTGAAAATCACTGTTTTTTAGTCTTGCAAAGTAGCTTCCTCCCTTAAATTAAGTAATGACCGAAGTTACATATCGATCGATGTCTTTTAGAACTTGGTCGGATAGAGAAATAAGGACACTTCTATCCAGATTGTACCCACTGCCGCTCGATTACAATCTAGTCATGGAATTCGAAAGTGAGATAATAAATTGTTCGCGTCGCATAAGTCTACCGGAAATCATTGATGTTCCACCCGGTGAGAGATATCTGGATTCTACTCTCGTAAGTATAATACTACTCTCTTTATTCTACTCTCTTTTATTCAGTAATACGTACTTGATATCACAATGGATAAATTGCAATCTTTTTTTATTTTTTTCACAGCCGGTGGTTTCTAAAGAACTGATATTGAGCTGTGAGACAATTTTTAGAAGGATGCAAATGAAATTCGGCAAAAGTAGCCGGTATCCGCATGAGATAATAAAGGCCGGCAAAAATGAAATTTTTGAGATGTTGACCAGCAACGTTTCTTTAACGGTACAATTGCTCGATGAGATTCGGAGGGAACCAAAGTATGTGTCATGTATATAATTTCAAGGTGTTCAGCGATCCTCGAATGTCCTTGAATCCTGGAATTATTATGGAATTTAATGTGTCCTGGGAAACCCCTGGAATTTCTGAATTGACCTTGAATTTTTGTCATTCTTTTATTCTAAAAAAAAAATTGAATCGTAAAATAAGAAAGAAATAAGAAATATTTCTTGCGTGTGTCAAGAACTGTGTTGATAACATCGGTAACGTTGTTTTTAGAGAAGTTTATGGTTGTAGAAGCTCTCGTTTAAAGATAAACTGAGGCAAGCAATTTGTAAAGCAACAAATAATATTGTTCTAAATTTATTCGCATTTTAATCGATTCGTCATATAGAATCCTAATTTGAATACAAAACATATGATATTGCGCAAATCAATAAAAAAATAATTGAGTAATGAAAATTAATCGACTTGGAAAAACCACGATTTTTACCTGAAATGTCCTGGAATTATCCTTGAATTGGCTAACCAGATATCGCTGGACACCATGTATAACATTTTCTATTTCGCTTAAATACAATAGGAACGATTCGCATATACATGAGAATTATTTACATATGTATTAACGCTTTCAGGAAGTTTATCTGTTTGAACGATGACATGGACCCCATTCGACGTTCCGAGAACGAGATCGTTCGCGCTCTGTTAAACGATTTTTATCGTTCGCTCTATCCGCTACGAAGTACCTTCGAACTACCGTCGCAATATCGAAATCGCTTCTCCCACCTGCGTGAACTTCTCGAATGGAGAGCGAGCCGCGCTAAAGCTAGAAACTTACTACTGTGCCTTCTGGCGTTGCTCCTTATGCTTACGTTCTACCACGTGTTCTACCATCACATGCGCAGATTGTGCAGAACTCGGGAGTTATCTACGTTTCTTGTGTGAGGCATCGATAACAAGTCCAAATCTATCGGTGTGCATAGAGTACAGTGAAACTGATAATATTAATTATAAATTAATATTAATTTATAAATTAAATAAGTTTAACGACGTACATTTTTTTGTCCCCTCGGAAGATGTGTTTGTTGAGAGTTTTTTGAGAGATTCATTTTCTAAAACTAGATAAAACTGATATTTCTGTGATACACTAAACGCTTTTTATAATCGCATTTTAATAAAAGGTTCAATTATATGTATATATAAATAGATATATAATGGATTGTTGAATCAAAACCGTGCGAGTGATTAGTTACGTCTGCAGATCAAAGATCTTAATCCTGCGAGTTATGTACATGCCTGCGTGTTCTCCGTATTCATTATTACGAAATAACGAGGCGTTATCACGACTTCAATCGTTCGTGCAGAGACGGGCAGTTCATGTGCCGGATATTTCGCGGTCCGACCATACCCTCTTGCAGCTTCGCGCACTCGAGCATCCACGCCGTTACGTTCGCAACGCGCTCGGTCGACAAACAAGGTCCTATACCTACATTTTTAATTCCAATAAACAATTAGTGGACGATTATTAACTGTTCGAGTGCCACGCGGCGCGTGACAGATGAAAAAAGCGATCACGCTGCTCACTTTTTTCATCTGTTAAATGATTTATCAGCACTACTCGACTTCTATCATAAATCTCAGAATCTGATTTAATTTAGGCATCACTATCAAAGTGTTTTTTTAAATTTATTTTAATTTATTAAAAAATAAATTTAAAAAAGTATAAATTTTATTTTTACTTGTAATGCGGTATTTTTTGACATGTAACAGGAGAGGCACGAACACGCCATATATATTCATCGTACAGATTTTTACGATCGCCTTTGGCACTCAAACGATTGAGATATAAATGGATGCTTGATTACCTGGCACATTCGGATAGCACGTAATTTTTGTATCCTTCTCTACTCCAGAAGACACGCTTCCATCGCTATTGGCATCTTTCACTCCGCAGAATTTCTTACCGATCGTATCATTGTTATCCGTGCGATCTTTACCGATCAAACTATCATCTTTTGGATTAGTCAAAGATTCATCTCTCCTTTCTTCAGAGCTGGTAGCTTCTTTTTCGAATGAACTGTTCTCTATCAGCTCCGACGATAGATCAGCTAAAAGGAGGAATTTAAATGGGTAAAGTAATCAAGCGGGAGCTACGTAAAGCTTCGTCCAGACCAGGAAACATTGTCATCGATATCGAAAAGAATAAAAAATTGAAAATGAAAATATGAGTGGCATTTTAGTAATAATCCTAGGAAACAAGCTGACATTATTTGTCATCATTTTGACGTCAAAATGTCGCTAAAGACGTCAAACAACGTTAACTTATTTCGTTATAATGAGTTTTATATTTTTATTACAATTGATATATATCCGACATGATGTATTTGACAATGTCGATTACTTTTTGTTATCGCATTTTTTTAATGTGTAGCGACATTAATGTGAACTTTATATTGAAATAGCGAATAACGATCTATTAATCTTCTACTTTTTACATATATTTATATTAGACGAGCGAACCTCTTCAAAGGAAATTTTAAGTTTGACTTGATTTAAAAATTTGAGAAAAATACAATGGTCATATTTTACTAGATGAAATGCGATGATAGAGATTTATTGTATGAAAAGTTGAGGGACAATAATATCTATAATCGTAGATTTTATAGCACAGATTTATCTTTTTAAAACTCTATAACTTTTACGGTAGCACATTTTGTCCACCAGAACATAATGATAATTTCACAAACGACCGTATAAATTAATACTTCTTCAGAACATATGTAGCGATATCACAAATCATGTCAACAATAGTTCTACGTAGGTATATTCGTATGTTGACGATATTCCTTTGAGTTTTAGTTTTATCGCCTCAAAATCGAAAATGATAAATTTATAAACAATATTGTAAAATGATAAATTTATAGGCAATATTGTAATCGACACGATGCCACTCATATTCTTAAATTGCTTTCAATATTTATCGACGACAATGTATCCGACAAAACGTTATTGACAAATGTATCTTACAGATACAACTGGATGTATCTGCAAAATTGAATTTGGTCAGATGTACTGTTGGTGATACATCCCTGCGTAGAGATGTAAATAGAAAAAAAAATTAAATTCTTTTTTTTTCATAAAACACTTTTTTTTAGAAAAAACATAAGCCTGATTGTTTTTTTTCAAAATTGTGTTTTTTTTTTCAGCTATCTATTTAATATCTATATTTTGCTTAAAATAAGTTAATTTTACATGATTTTTTGATTTTATAGATAGCAAATTTAAATTATCATTTTCAACCTTTTCAAATCATTTTAACCTTTACGCAGAAAGTCAATGTATTGATTCTGAAACATATTTTGGAGCAAGGACTTCAATGAATAATTATAATAAATTCTACTTAAGGAGAAAAGCTGTTTAGAAAAAGAATTAAAAAGATTCTCCTTTTGTAGATGACATTAAAATTAATTATATAATTATATAATTACTATTTACAATTAATTAGTCGTGCTATCGGAATTAGAAAAAAAAACTAAATTTATATTTTTCAATTAAATAAAACACGTTTTTTTCTAATGTTTTTTCTATTAGAAAAAAAAAATGTTTTTTTTACATCTCTATCGCTGCGTGACAATTTTTCTTAGAATTCTGAAATATTTTCATTCTGAAAAAAACTTACCAAATCTGAAGAAGTTTAAAATATTTTTTTTAATATTCATAAATCTAAGCTATGAAAAATTCTTAAAAAGTATGAGAACATTTTTCACCAGGGATGTTTCCAACAATATTTTATTCAGTCTGGACGAGACTTAAAAACATAGTCGAATAACGTACTTTTCGACAAATCAACCTCGTCCTTGGATATCAGTTCCGAATCTAAATTAATGTCCACGTCGGTGTCTTGGCTGTTTATGGAGCAAGTACGCTCGACGGAACTCTCTTTGCACACAGTACGCTCCGTTGTATCTTGTTCGAACGTGTCTCTTTCATTGCCGTCGCACGCGAGTTCCGCTAAATACCTGTTCGTTTCGGACATTACATATATACATACAATCGCAGACAGTTATCATCAATAATTACAGGAAGAATCGGTGACATCGTCACGCCGAACTTACTCGTAGATCTCCATAAACAAGGTGAGCGGGATCATCGCGGATCCGCCGTCCGGCTCGTGGCTGAACAATTGGCAGACCATGATCATCGTCTCGGTGAGATTAGCGCCGAGCAGGCCCACCGCTATGGCGAGGAACTTCTTCACCTGGCAGGTGCGACGGAATCCCCCGATCGCGAGGATCGTGTCGAAGTCTCTGCGGTCCAGGCAGAGGCAATCCCAGCGACGCGAGATCGTCTCGACCGGCAGCGTTTTGTTGTAATCTGCAAAGCGAATTAGACCGCATCGGTGAAATATATATAGGGATTTGCCGTCGAGGGCTGGCGCTTCTCTCGCGGAGTTCCCGTACTTCCAAACTGTCGCAGCAACACCCTGAGGAAGCCCAGGGTCAGGCCGGAGGCCGTGCTCGGCGGCGGGTACTCGAGTCGCGACTTGATTGGCGGCTCCTCGCCGTCGGCCAGTGCGCGAAAGTACGAGCCGGACCACTTGAGCAGGTCGTACGGCTGCGTGCGTATCGCGGCCTTGCAGAACTGCTTCAGAATCATCGGCAACCTGGCCGGCACCGCAATCTCCCGCTCGAGTGGCGGTTGCTCGACAAACGACATCCTCGCGAACAACTTCGTCGTCGTCGTCGTCGTCGTCGTCGTCGTCCTCTTCCACGGCCGGTCGGCTCGATCAATTGTTGTGCTCCCGCGGTGCTTCCCGTCGTCTGGGAAACGGGAAGGTCTCGTCGACGACGGCTCTCCGCGCGCGAGTGCGAGAAGTGTTCCAATATTCCAAGTAGAATAATTTTAATGATCAGGATTCTACCATTCTATAACTATATTTTTTCTAAGTATTGCCGATCCAACCGCGCTATTTTTTTTCAATTGTTATGCGATCATAGTTAACTTTTTTCATATATATAAAATCATACATAAAAAATGTAGCTAATCACATAAGAAAAAGAATTTAAAAAAATGATTCAAGTATATAATGACGAGAAGAAAAAATAAAAAAGGATGATTAGAATTAATATATTGACTTATATATAATGACAAGTTAAATAAAAGAAACTCTTAGCAAATACCTAATAATTGTATAACTATTATACAAAATATTCGAAATAGTATGTATAGATGTAAAACTTAATTATTAATTATTTACATATATATGTTATTTAGCAGTTATATTTATATTTATTCTGATAAAATTTTCCTCTGATTAATTCGGAATTGAATCCTTCCTCCCTCTTAATCAGCAATTAATTGATTATAAACTTATTAGAATGATATATATGTTACATAGATAGAAATATAACTAATATTTTAGAAGTATTAATTAATTTGTTTAAAAACTATAAAAAGATTAGATTTGGAGACAATATTTAGTTAAAAATTTTGCTGGTTGAATTTAATTGCCGACTGGTCAAATTAATTGATGTTTGATCGAAGTCGCCCTCTGTATTTTCGCTGCAAGTGCAGGGAGTGTAACATGGTGTAGTTAAAAAGAACCTTCTTGATAAAGATTCGTCAGGTCTATCTTCAAAGCTTTCATGTATAAATACGATTTGAAGCGTCAAACTGAACGATGATAATGGCACTTATCAATGTATATTGCGTAAACATATGAAGTAAATATGGTCATTGACCTTAAAAACTTACGACTGCATGAATATAAGCGAATCACGTAGCGCGTAGCTCATCCCAAAATCGCGGGTTTTTCCGATGCACACGCGCCATCGTCGCTTTTATACACATGCGTGAATGCGCGCAGCCGATCACGTGACTATCTCGACAGGCATGTGTCAAAAATGCAACGCGAGAGACTCAAATATATTTTTTATGTTTCTCATTATTCTATCTTATATCATTATTATTTTATATTAACAATAGTTATCTCTTTCTTAATTTTTTTTTAATTATTTACATTATTTTGAACAATTAGTTACATTTTGCATACTTAACTTTTAATATACTTAAAACATTCATTTTATGTATTTATAAATGATTTATAATATTTGTCTCTATTTGTAAATTTGTAATTTTATATTTTGTTAAAATATTAATAAGGGTTTTTGCGATAAATGTTCATGTAATACATGTATGTGACTGCAGAAATTATAAATAATAATTGTATTATTTTTATTATTTTTTTATCTACAACTATATAATAACTTAACGCGAATTTACAAACAAAGACACACATGTATATATATATATATATATATATATATATACTGCAAATAATTCAACATGCAAATAATATGCAGTACTACAATAAATAATTCAAATAATTTTAATGTTTATAATTTATTATATAACTTGTTATCCATTTTATTGAAGTATTATTTGTAATTTTATTACAACTATAAATATTATACCGATTAAATTATTATAAATATCATTAAAAATATTTACTATAATTATTATATATATAAATTTGTAATTTTTTTATTCGTACATTATAATTAAATATTATTCTAATTCCTACACAATTGATTTTAAAACATATCAAATAATTTTTTAAATACTCTTTATATATATATCTATAATTTTATTATAAAATGCACGTAAAAACTTTGTTATTATATTGTTATTATTGTAAATTGCATTTGTAAACTTTTTTAAATTTATACTTATTGTAAACTGCATTGCATTTAACAAAAAATTATTTAACAAAACTTAAAATTAAGATTAACTGCATTAATTGACAAAAATGAAGATTTTTCCATTGTCCTTTCTTTCGACACTTTTCACTTCGCCCATACAGCTGGGCCTCATAAATACCACTTATCTATACGCCCGTGTACTTGCGCTACTGCGCAAGCGCGACAAGATCCGGCGCAAGTGGCGCAACATGGCGGTCAATGCCGATGCACGGCGGTGTTTGACGCGGTGCGTACGGTGCGTTGAATCGTTTTCGATGCGTCGGCAATAACCGTCACCGGCCAGCGAAAGGTGGTCATCAGCGATACGTGCACAAGCGAGACGGTAACCGGTCCGTGTTCGACGCGAGAGACTCAACGTGAGAGAGCACTGCTCGAACGCGGCGTATCGGCGTGTTTTCTACAGCGGGAGCGTGAGCTGTGCGTGTGCGTGTAGTACCGCGGGCGGCAAGATGTCCAAACCGGACGAGAATGCGGACACCGGTGACACCGGGGACAACTCGAACGGGTCCTCGGCGGAGACGACGTCGTCGAGGGGGGGCGGCGACTTCGAGACGAAGCTCGAGACGGACCGTAGCAAGCGCTTCGACTACCTGCTGAAACAGACCGAGATATTCTCGCACTTCATGACGAACAATCAGAAGGACAAGGCTGGCAGCCCGTTGAAGATCAAAGCCGGCAGACCCAGGAAACAGCCCCCGGCGGAGAACCCGACGAAGTCGGACCCCGGCGACCATCGACATCGCAAGACCGAGCAGGAGGAGGATGAGGAGCTGTTGGCGGAGAGCAACGCCAGCGTAACGCCTACCACGCGCTTCGAGTCCTCCCCCCATTACATCAAGTCCGGCGAGCTGCGCGACTATCAGATACGCGGCTTAAACTGGATGATATCGCTCTACGAGCACGGCATCAACGGCATCCTGGCGGACGAGATGGGCCTCGGCAAGACGCTGCAGACTATCTCCCTGCTGGGGTACATGAAGCACTTCCGAAACATTCCCGGACCTCACATCGTCATCGTGCCGAAGTCGACGTTGGCCAACTGGATGAACGAGTTTAAGAAGTGGTGCCCGAGCCTCAGGGCTGTATGCCTGATCGGCGACGCCGAGACTAGGAACACCTTCATCAGAGACGTGATGATGCCCGGCGAGTGGGACGTGTGCGTGACGTCCTACGAGATGGTCATCAAGGAGAAGTCCGTGTTCAAGAAGTTCAACTGGCGCTACATGGTGATAGACGAGGCCCACAGGATAAAGAACGAGAAGTCGAAATTGTCGGAGATCCTCCGTGAATTCAAGACCACCAATCGGCTCCTCCTGACGGGCACGCCGCTCCAGAACAATCTCCACGAGCTGTGGTCCCTGCTGAATTTCCTCCTGCCGGACGTATTCAACAGCTCCGACGACTTCGACTCGTGGTTCAACACAAACAGCTTTCTAGGTGATAATTCCTTAGTCGAGAGATTACACGCGGTCCTAAGACCGTTCCTCCTGAGACGCCTCAAGTCCGAGGTGGAGAAGGGGCTCAAGCCCAAGAAGGAGATCAAGGTGTACATCGGGCTGAGCAAGATGCAGAGGGAGTGGTATACCAAAGTGCTGATGAAGGACATCGATATCGTGAATGGCGCGGGTAAGATCGAGAAGATGAGGCTGCAGAACATTTTGATGCAGCTGCGCAAGTGCTGCAATCATCCGTACCTGTTCGACGGTGCCGAGCCCGGGCCGCCGTACACCACCGATGAGCATCTCGTCTACAACTGCGGCAAAATGGTGATACTCGATAAGCTGCTGCCGAAGCTGCAGCAGCAGGAGTCTCGAGTCTTAATATTCAGCCAGATGACGAGGATGCTGGATATCCTGGAGGACTATTGCCATTGGCGGTGCTTTCAGTACTGTCGGCTGGACGGCAACACCGCGCACGAGGATCGGCAGCGGCAGATAAACGAGTACAACGCACCCGGCAGCGAGAAGTTTATTTTCATGCTGTCGACTCGCGCCGGCGGACTGGGCATCAATCTGGCGACCGCCGACGTGGTCATTATTTACGATTCCGATTGGAATCCGCAGATGGACCTGCAGGCGATGGACCGGGCGCATCGTATAGGCCAGCAGAAGCAGGTGCGGGTCTTCAGGTTTATCACGGAGAACACGGTGGAGGAGAAGATCGTCGAGCGGGCTGAGGTAAAGCTACGCTTGGACAAGCTCGTCATCCAGCAGGGACGGTTGGTCGACGCCAAGCAACAGGCGTTGAACAAGGACGAGATGTTGAATATGATCAGGCACGGCGCGAACGAAGTGTTCGCGTCCAAGGACAGCGCTATCACCGACGAGGATATAGACACGATACTGCAGAAGGGCGAGGCGAAAACGGAGGAGATGAAGCAGAAACTCGAGAGCCTCGGCGAGTCCTCGTTGCGCAACTTCACCGTCGACGCGCCGACGGACTCTGTGTACCAGTTCGAGGGCGAGGATTACCGCGAGAAGCAGAAGATCCTCGGAATAGGCAACTGGATCGAGCCGCCCAAGCGCGAGCGTAAGGCCAATTACGCCGTCGACGCGTATTTCAGAGAGGCGTTGAGAGTGTCGGAGCCGAAGGCGCCGAAAGCACCGAGACCACCGAAACAGCCGATAGTCCAGGACTTTCAGTTCTTCCCGCCGCGACTTTTCGAGCTGCTGGATCAGGAGATTTATTATTTCAGACAGACGGTCGGCTACAAGGTACCGAAGAATCCGGAGCTCGGGTCCGACGCCGCACGAATCCAAAAGGAGGAGCAGCGCAAGATCGACGACGCCCAGCCGCTCACCGACGACGAGGTCGCCGAGAAGGAGAAATTGCTGCTGCAGGGCTTTACCAATTGGACTAAGCGGGACTTCAATCAGTTCATCAAGGCGAACGAGAAGTACGGTCGCGACGACATCGAGAACATAGCGAAGGAGGTCGAGGGTAAGACGCCGGAGGAAGTTATGGAGTACTCGGCCGTTTTCTGGGAGCGGTGCCACGAGCTGCAGGACATAGATCGCGTGATGGCGCAGATCGAGCGCGGCGAGGCCAAGATACAGAGGCGTGCCGGCATCAAGAAGGCGCTGGATGCGAAAATGGCCAGATACCGGGCGCCGTTCCATCAGCTTAGGATAGCTTATGGCACGAACAAGGGTAAGAATTACACCGAAGAGGAGGACCGGTTTCTCGTATGCATGCTGCACAAGCTCGGATTCGACAAGGAGAACGTGTACGAGGAGCTGCGCGCCACGGTGAGGTCGGCGCCGCAGTTCCGCTTCGACTGGTTCGTCAAGTCGCGCACGGCTCTGGAGCTGCAGCGTCGCTGCAACACCCTGATCACCCTGATCGAACGCGAGAATCAGGAGCTCGAGGAGCGTGAGAGGCAGGAGAGGCGGAAGAAGGGCAGCAACGTAGGAACGAAGCCGACGTCGAAGCGGAAGGAGAATCTGCCGGCGCCCCAGGACAAGCCGCGAAAAAAGAAGAAGTAAAACGACTTGAGTGTTATATTGCGCGGCGAGGCCTCACTCCTTCGAACTCTTTAGAACTCTTCGAAACACTTTTCACACGACTCCTGCGCGTTAAATAATGACTGAAATGACAGACCACGGGTATTCACACACACGCATACACACACACACACACGCAAGGCGCTCTTTTCTATATTTACAAATTTACTCATCTTCACCGCAGACTTAATTGTGTGACTCTAAACCGACCACTTCATATTCCATTGTAAAACGAGATACATTCTTAGATAACGGACTGCCGAGTTCATCAGGCCTCATCGTAATTGTTTGTAGCGACATGAACTGTACTTTTATCATAATTGATCTCTGAAAATGTACAAGCATAACTGCGCGAAACTAGATTAATTTCGTTGATGCTGCAGAATCATTGATAGCTACGCCGCCGACACTTCCCGATGGACTTGGGCAGAACTCGACATTGCGAGTGTTTTTCATGTGCTCACGAATGCCGGACTATAAGATGAGATTTAGAGAGAGAGAAAGAGAGAGAGAGAGAGAGAGAAGCGTGAGAAAAAGTACACTATTTATTTCTATCTCGGATCTATCAAAACTGTAAGTTGTTATTTAAAATTCTTTTCCTTTCTCACTTCGACAATCTTCAAAATTTAACATTATTCTATATATATATATCGGTCGAATTGAGATGTATAATTTTTATTAATTTTCGAATCCTGTACTTCTAACTTAGTTAGTCCCATTGATATGTATCATGTGTTGCTACACAGATTTCTTTTTTATAACATAATCTTAAAAAAGTCTCAAAGTATTATTGTGGTATAATGTATAAGCAGTATACGCTGCGGTCTTTTATAGCCAAACATTACTCCGTAATACGTATTCGGAGAGGTATTCTTCCAATTAGTTTCGAAACGCTGTCACGGACTAATTGCAGTGGGAGTTCTTGCTGTTCCAACATTCGGAAATTGCAGATTTTTAACACCCAACAAAATCCCATAGCGTTTCTAACAAAAGATGTATACACTTAGACAGTTTTATATTTAAGTTTACACGAACACACGTCAGATAAGAATTTGCAAGAAAATAACATTCAGAATATTGATAATAAATAAATCTTACTATTACGGATGAAGGATGTTTTATTTCAACTGTATGTATGTATAAGTATGTCGCTTTGATACTTCTCATGAGATATTTATTAATCGTCGCAACTCGATCGTTTTTCACAATTGCTTGGAAGGAGATACAATGTTTCTATATTCAAATATTTTATACGTAAAATACTGGTCAATTGTCGAAACTATATCATACTTATTACATATAAAAAGCTTAGCAATTATAAGCGTGATGCTCCGATGACTTAATTGCAAATATGAGAATGTACTGTGAAGAGAGTGTGTACTGAAAAAGTATAGGAACATTTATAATGCTCATATCATAATTTATTGATAAATGAAAAAATAGATGAACTGCTACACAGTCAATATTAGGTCTTCAAAATGAAGGTACTGACATTAGACATTAAATATTTTATATTGTTTCTGTTAACAAATTACGCGAAGAGATCATGGATCTGGTATATGTGAAAATTAACCGAATGTAAAATTTCTCCCTTTTGCACACGCAATGCAAATTACAGAAACTGAGAGGTATGAATGTACATTGTACGAATGCACGAGTTAAAAAATGAAAATGTTCCGATATCGACTTTTCTTGAACCGTCCCTTTAAGGCCTCAGAGTTCTATACCGCAGGATAATATCCTAATTGCATACTTTTACATAATTGTCAATTCACTACCTTCCGATTCAAAAAGCCATAAAGAAGAGAATAAAAATATTCCCAAAAGATTCTGACAATCGATTGTCAAAGAGGAAAAAAAACCATGCTATCAACGTTCTTGTAATTGTGGTCTAAACATGATTAGAGCATATTAAAAAGGCAAGTACAATTATAAATTACACTCGTTACACCTTACTTCCACACAACTCGAAAAGTTCACATCTATAACGAGTTAAAAAATTAATAGTCACAGTGCTTGTTTATATGCAACACAGAGGGGCACGCGGAAAGTTCGCTTAAAACTGAAGAAATCCATTTTTTGTCATTTATCTTTCTATTTTTTTTTCGCTGCGCCTTCAGTTCTTCCCCTCAGCGATCGTTCCTAAAATCTATAGACAGTATTGGAACAATTCAGATTTAATCGGCGATGGAATACACTTAGTTTTCAGCAAGTATGCATCCACGATGAGTACACAATTATCAATAACAGCATGATTCGTATATAATTCGGTAATTCGTCTATGGCAAGAATCGGCCCATTATAAGACATGTATTGTATTGCATGTTACATTCATTATATTTACGAAGTGAGTTCTCAACGAGAAGATCGATTACGTGGGAATAACGATCCAGGATATAAAAAAAAGAATTAGAAATTATCGAACGAATGATTCGTTAAGCAAATAATTTTCTAAAATTCTTTTACGAGTTACGCTCCCCTGTTTCGTATAACGTTAAGCAATTATAGTACAAATCGCTTGATTCGTAAAGCGATTACAACTGTTTTAATAACATTAAAGCTAAGAAAATTCAATACAGAATGAACAGACGTCTTCGATTTGAACCGCGTGTTACGCAGTCGCAGCGTTCGGAAGCAATTCCCCGTCTACCTACGCGAGCATCGTCGAGTTAACGAATTCTGAAATAAGTGATGGGAGGGTTTACAGCATTCTATACACGACTTTCTAACGCCTCAATTGATTATATTTGCGCTACGCTTCAAAGTCCTGCGCGACAGCGGCAATAATAGGATAATAATACTGGCAAATTGTATGGCGGTTTTTTTATAAGCAGACTTTATCCCTAGAGAGTGAATATTTTCTAGCGAATAATCTTTTCACGTTTCGTCATCTAAGTACGCATATACTACAATATATCGTTCGAAATCTACAGTATTTTTGTAATCGTGTTGTCAGCAATATCAATGCTTTCATTTGACACAGATCGCGCGGTGCTACAGAGAATGCACCTGTCAAATAATTTTTACAATTTATATCCTTCCTCGATTTTGATTATTCGATAAACGATAATTATACGTACACTTTTCGTTCACGGCATTTCTTTTTTTTTCGTTTCTTACGTCGCTAGGAATAATATTGACTTGCTAAATTGTCGAACAATTATTTCTGGGCTCCTGAATAAACGTGCGGATAAAAATTCTTGCTTTATCGCCTAATATATATATAGTACATTTTTTCTATTGTGCAGTTGAAAAAGGATTTCAATTCGCTACATGACAATGCTGCTATTTGCTAAATACATTTCAGGTATATTTTCATAAATCACCTCGTTCACGCTCGTCACTCCGCTATTAGTGCAGTACGTAAAACAAAAAAAATATTTCTTTCACAAGATTCACATAACATAAATAAAGCAGTCGCGATAGTATACAATGAGATTAAAAGTTCTTCGCACACATTTATATAGTAATAATGCAATTGAATAATTCTATTCGCTGTATATATATATAAAACGCCGAATAGAAATATTTAATTGCATTATTACTATATATATATACACATATACAAAGTTCCAACAGAAACAGAAAACTTAAATAATATTACTAAAATATATTATAGAATATTATATATTGTATAATATATTATATATTATAGATTTGAAAATTCCGAAAACAGGTTAAACCTGATTGGATTGCTCTTACCATTTCTCAACATTTAATACAAGTTATGTAAAATCACTGTACAACTTGCAATGGCAGTTATGAGAAGAAAAAATATATCTTAAAAATCTTAAAAATATATCTATACTCAAAAGAAACAGTAAATCAAGATATTCAGATGTTCTGTTTCTGAAGGATTATTCTATGCGAAAAAGAATAGTCTTACACCTACATAAAATAAATAAACTTGAAAAAATGTAACATGACTATTATCAGAATAGAGTAGGAATGGATATTAAGTCAAATGCCGAGTTTACAATAGCCAGTTCGCTTAAATAATAAAACATATTTATGTATTTTTTTACATAACAATTCACAAATAATCGTCCCCTAAATCAAATATGCATCTCTTTTATAATCGAATCTTAACTATGTAAAATTAATAACGAGAGTAGGATAAATACTTTGTAAAACAATATTTGACTGTGGAAGCGAAACGCCTTAATCTTACATAATTAATTGTAATTAATTAATCATTTGTTATACGCTAAAATAAATTGTTCCTCACAAGTCTTTAGTAACTATTACCTCGATATTAATAGCGATCTCACTAACGCATTTGTGTAATTTCGTATATTTAAACTATAAATACGAATATTTATTTTACTTAAAAACGGCCATTGCACGCTCGATCGATAAAGGTACAATCTACACTCCGAAATAAAATACTAGAGATGTCCATTAAAAGATTACTCGCGAATAAACTCGAATAACGTAAAAAAAAAAAAAAAAATCGACTTTTACTACAGTTATTATGTAATGGCGATAAATTAATGTTACACGAGAAAGAGATTCTGAGGGTGCAGATTGCATTACATGAAAATGAAACGCCAACAGAAATGCAAACGCCTTTGAATTCGATACTTCGTCTATACTTTATATATATATGTATATATATATACATATATACATATATATATATATATATTATATATACGAGTAAGATGGAAATGATCTAAGTTAAAGATTCAATCGAAAATCTCTCAAATGCCTCCAGGGGGGTGGATCGGGGGGTGGAGGCAAAGGGACTGGTTACGGACGGCAATGGCCTCTCTTCCTACCGCCTTCGTTACCATCCTCGTCCTCGCCGCCCCTTCGCACTTCCGTATAACGTTCACCCTTCACACTTACGATCTTATTGTCAAGGTACCGTACCAGCTTCTTGGGCTCCGTCTTGGGCGCGACTGGACGGTGCTCGCGGCAATCGTCGTCCCTGTCGACGTAACTATACCGCGCGATGATACGGGACTTCAACTCCTCGTCGTTCAGCCTCGCCTTGTTACGACCGTTCGGCTGAAACGAGTAAAAATGCCCGTGTAAAATCACCGTCGAGCTTTTATCACGCGAACGGGCGACGTCGCCGCGCGATCTTACCGTTAGAAACGTGAGGTTGCTCACGATGCTTTGACCCGCCTCCTGACGATGTATCACGAGCTGCGCAGCTTTCGTTACGTCGCCCCCAGCCACCGCTAGGCAATGCCTCGCTTCGGCGGGACTCGCCGACGGAAACATCTCTTGCAGCAGGGCCACCTGATGCCAGGAGGATTCCTAGAAGGGAATAGACACTCGAAAAAACACATCTCGTACACCGACCTTTCAGCTGAACTTCTCTTGCACGATTCGTCTTGTCTTATCTTTTTTCTTCCACGTTGAAGAAAAAAAAAAGAGAAAAGATGATGCGAGTTCAGCTAAAAAGAACAGGACATTTCTCGTCTCTCGCGCCCAAGAGTGTTTCCCTTACTTCCGAAAAGTATTCGCCGCTAGAATCGCTCCCGGCGTCGCTCGTCTCCGAGAGATGGTGGACCCGCATTCTTTGCGCGCCGGCTGGCAGGAGGGCGGCCAGGCTGATGTGATCCAGCGGATCGCTAGGGGACTGGCAATTCTCATTCTCCTTGGTCTCCTGCTTCAGCTTACTTTCCACGTCGAGCAGCCATTTCGACACGGCCTCTTTCTCGATAGTGGAAAACTCGGGGAGACAGGCGGATACCATCTCGCACAGCCCGTCCACATCTAGATTTTCCTCCAACGCGCTTTCTTCCACCATACTCACTACGTAACTGAGCACAATGTCGTCTATTAAGCTAAAACAGGATGATGTCTGTTTAGTATCTCCATTGTGTATAGTTGAAAATTTATTGAAAAAGAATCAAAGTCACAGAGCAATCTTAGCTCGCGAGTTAAACGCTTCCAGATCTTTTCATCGTCTCAGTGAGACAGAGATAAAATAAAAAATGAATAAAAAAAAATAGATGCTAAAGCAGTCACTGAGCGAAGCTTTAGTGAATGCATTTAGATTATGAGCTAAGGCTACTGCCACATAGAGAAAGAGTGGCACATAGAGGACGAAAAATGAGCTTTCTACAGTAAGCCATTAGTAATAGACAAGAAGTTAGAAGCAAATTATAAGCGAGTCAATTGTCACAAAGCAATAATAAGTCAATAACCAATGACTGAACAGTCACTGTGTGTCAGCGAATATAGTTGGCCAGATTCAATTTTGTTTTTTTTATTTAAACTTAAATCAATTGACTTCTGAGTCTTGATCCATCACCAACGATTTATTGTAGAAAGCACATAAGCAGTACGTAAATTAATTTTTTTTTGTATTTGCCACTGCTTAGATTATTGCCTTAAATACTAGACTGATTCGCCAATTCGCTTAATGTTTACATTTTTCTATGTACCCATTAGCTCAAATACTAAAAACAGGTCTGTCACAGGACCTGTTCTTTGTTGTTGCATTAAAAATCCTCCTTTTTCTCGTTTTCGTCAAACTTCAAATATACACTTATTTCACTTTAAGAGTACGAGTACACACAACGTAGTTCGGCTGCAGAGAACAGTTTCTGTGAGCGAAAGCGAAGGATCTGTGTTACCTCAGCTGAGCGGTGGGCACCTGCTTCCTAACGAAACTAAACAAGGCCTTCTTCACCAGCTCCTCCTTCTCATCCATCGTGCGATTCATCCTGCAATCGTCAAACCCGTTAACAAGATATTCCTACGGCGACGCTAAAAGTATTCGCCACGAATATCGACGACGTCCGGATCATCCGCGCGCGTCTACGAGAGCGAGCGCTCTCGCCCTTCGCGGCCGTGACGACTGTTCCCGCCGCTCGGCGAGAGACCCGCTCTCGGGGGAGAGGAGGGAGGGTGCTCGCGATCGTGGCGGCGACGGTCCCTCGCGGGAGTCCCGCGGTCTCAACGGGCACTGCGACGGAACGTTCCTCGCGCGTACGTGCGACAACGTTCAGTCATTGATCCTTTAAATATAGGTTAAGGGAGACGAGAGGGCAGCAGGTCTCTGTTTCGCCAGCCAGCCCTTGCGCGCCCTTACGCGCGAGATGCCGCGACGACCAGGTACCTCGACGACGAGCGGGACGGCGGAACGGCGGTGATCAGTCGCGCGACTGACCGCGCGGAGCATTCGCGGCCGCGTATGAGACAGGGCGGATGAATCGGCGGGTAGATCGGAAAGGGTAGGTGAACCCCCCCGAGAGAGGAAAGCGACACGAGATCGCTCGGCGGTAAGTAACAGGACGGTGGATCGTCGACGACGCGGACGACGCGCCGGCTCGTCGGCTCGCACCGCGAGAGGAGGACGTTACGCGAGACGCTACGCCGGCTACGAACCTGACCCTGAAGCCCAGGCTACCTCGGTCGGGGGGACACTCTCGGGGTCTCGTCGGCGACGCCAAAACAACCGAGATAAATTTCGTATACAAACAACGCTCGTCGATTTGACAGTTTGACGAGGGGAGGGGTGGACGCGCGGCGCCTGGCGCCGCCTGGCGGGGCCATGCGTGAACTAGCGCGCAGCCTGCAAGTGCATCGCGCTGTATGAAAGAGCACACTTCCGCAGGGATACGTACTTGTAGTCGTGACGTTGTACTACTGTAAATATACACGCGGTATACATTTAATGTATAAAGGTGTATACATGCTGTAATACATATCCGCAGAGTGCCCCAGAACTCGAGCGCGAAAAGGAGGTGCAATTCTACGCGGGAAAAATCGAAAACGTGAAATAAAATCTCGACTTTTCTATACACACGCGAGATTCCATTTCCTGAGAAAGGCAATTTCAAACATTCGTCAGGTATGGATAATAATCTAACAATTTTTAACATAAAATTCTTAAAAGTAAACATTTTACATTCGAAGTTGTTCTTTTGAAAAAAGCCCCGTATATACAAGATTTGAAAAGTGTGCAGGCAACTCCGAGATATAACTTTTATAAATGAAAATCTCGGAAAACGAAAACATGTGTTTGATTTTTCTAGAAAGGTACGTAATTTTCGGTAGTGGAAGGGATGATCGGCAAAAGGCAGCTTTCTCGAAAAATCGAACATACTTCCACTGTTTTCCAATATTTTTCCATTTAGAAAAATAAAAATTTAACTTAAAAAAATATCAATAAGTAATTAAAGTTAATTTATGTTTTAAAAATAACTAATTGAAGTTAAAAATTAACTAAATTAAAAGTTATTAACCTTTAATTTTTTATTTAACTTTTGACTAATTAATTTTATTTAACTAATTAATTACTCAACCCTTATACATAAATTATATATATTATGTATATAATATTATATACGTAATATTATATACAGTTTTGGCCATAAATATAAAGCATAAATTGATGTAAATGTTGTATTATATATTTAATAAAAAATAATTATATTAAAAAATAAAATTTTTATAAGAATTTTAATATTTTGTTAATCCTTTTTTAGCCTTTATTAAAAAAGTCCTTTTCAAAAAATGCAATAAATTTAAGATTTATACTTCGAGCAAGGCTGTAGATTGTATTCCAGGTAGCACGTATATTCGTTCCAGAAATGATTCATAACTCGACTCTTGAAAACGTTTCTGAATGGTTAAAATGTCAACTCGAAAAACGTTTAAAAAAACATTATTTCTTCTTGGTAACAAAAAAAACGTAGAGAAATATAATCGAAATTTTTTCTTTATCTGTAAACAATTTGCGCATTCATTCTTTTCAAGCAAACTTTTTCACAGATAGAGAAAAAATGATATTCCGATTATATTTCCCTACGTTTTTTTTTACCAAAAAGAATCTTTAAACGTTTTTCAAATGGACATTTTAACTCAGAAACGTTTTCAAGTGCTATCTGGGATGCTATATTTCATATATACATATATAAAATTTTATTGTGTGTGTGTGTGTGTGTGTGCGTGTGTGGTGTATGCGCGCGCGCGCGCGCGCACTGCATATACAGGGTGACCCACGTAAAGTGTACAATTAGCTAATATAGAACTTTAAAAGTATTTGTCGTATCAAAAATTTGTTTATGAGGAAGTTTCACGTAAGCCTTGTGTTCATGATACTAAAAATCGATTCAAGTTCTCAAACCGAGAACTGTATAGCCAATAAAATTGCTGCTTTTTCGTATAAGTTACAAGTTGATTGGCTACACAGTTTTTGGTTCCGAAAACTTGGATTTCGAGTATCGCGGACATAAGGCCTTAAAGGGCGGGAGAGTAACTTCAAAATTTTAATGAAACCCCCTTGTAAAATGTTGCATATTTAGATTCTACGCGAGAAAAAAATAAATAAATTTTATCTGAAACATTTTTTTGAAAAATGCTTTTATTAAAAGTTATAAGCATTTAAATTTTAAAATAGAGTACATTTAAATTAATAATAAAAGCATAAATTAAATAAACGATTTCAAAGTTTTTCTATTTTTTTTTAAATATAATCTTTATTAAATATTCGAACTGTTGTGCATTTGCATTTATAAGCACCTATTAATTTTTTATACAAAATTTTGTCTTGCTCTAAACAATATTTCTGGGGGCACACTAGTGCAAGCTTCACATATTTTTCGTTTTAAATGATCTTCCTTTGTCTCTATTAAAGAGAAAGTTATATTTCAAGCATCTACGACGAAAAAATGTGATGCTTGCGCTAGTGTGATTCGTTCAGAAGTGTAATTGTTTAGAGTAAGACAAAATTTTGTAGAAAGAATTAATAAATGTTTAACTGTAAATGAACAACATTTAAGAACAGCATTCGAGCATTTAATAAAATAAAAAAGTACCGAAAAACTTTGAAACCTTTAATTTATAATTTTATCATTAATATAAATGCACTCTACTTTAAAGTTTAATTGCTTATAACTTTTGATAGAAGCATTTTCCAAAGAAATGTTTTTGATAAAGTTTACTTTTTTTTCGTAGAATCCAAATATGTAACATTTTATAGGGGGTTCCATTTGAAATTTTGAAGTTACCCCCTCCCCCGCCCCCTTCAAAGGGAAAACTGAAAAAGACTTTTGTTTACGTAGTTAGAAAGGCCTCTCTAATGAAACTTCCTCGTGAACAACTTTTTGATACGATATAAATATTTTTAGAGATATTAGCTTATGATACCTTACGTGGGCCTGTAGATACAAAACACCCTATCAATGTAATTATTTGTAAATTTGTTATGTTTCAGAATTTTTTGAGACCTAAAATATATTGATATAAAATTCAATTTAAAAAAAAACTATAGTCAGGTATGTATTTTTTAAATAATATTTTTACAATGTATCGAAAATATATTGATTATTTGATTGATTTATTTTTTAAAATTTAGATTTGACCATTTTTTATCTTTTTTGTTTGTATACTTACAATTAGTGGCAATCCGGTGGTAATAAATTTAAAATAATGCCTGGATTGAATCGTCCTTCGTTCTCTGATGATTCTTGGCCCTCCGAGTTTGCGAAAGGTGTTATGGTTGGTATGTTTGATGCTGGTGTTTCCATTGCTGCAATAGCCAGACATATGGGGAAAGATGTATCTGTCGTGAAAGACATTATCGGCTCGTATAAGCTGGGATATACATCATCTGATGAGGATTCTTATGAGGATTCTGATGATGAGAATTCTGTTGAGGATTCTGATGATGAGAATTCTGTTGAGGATTCTGATGATGAGAATTCTGTTGAGGATTCTGATGATGAGAATTCTGTTGAGGATTCTGATGATGAGAATTCTGTTAACGATTCTGATGACGAGAATTCTATTGAAGATTCTGATGATGAGAATTCTGTTGAGGATTCTTATGAGGATTCTGATGATGAGAATTCTGTTGAGGATTCTGATGATGAGAATTCTGTTGAGGATTCTGATGATGAGAATTCTGTTGAGGATTCTGATGATGAGAATTCTGTTGAGGATTCTGATGATGAGAATTCTGTTAACGATTCTGATGACGAGAATTCTATTGAAGATTCTGATGATGAGAATTCTGTTGAGGATTCTGTTAAGGATTCTAACCGTTCTAAAGTGGACCGCTAAAAGAGGCAAATGACTCCAAGGATACATAAGTGTGAAAATTGGACTCACAATCAGACTTTCCTTAATGGATCACATTCCAAATCAATGAAGAAATGGAACGTCTTTTTGTTATTGTTAAAAATTATAGAATAATAATAATGATTTATCGAAGAATTCGTTTATTTGACCTGCAGTTACCAAATTGATATTATTTTTCACTCTTTTCACCATAGAAATGTTTGACTGATGCAATAAACATGCACAATGAAGACGAGCAATGGAAGCAGATTATGTTTAATGAATCTCGATTTTGTTTGAACTCGCGATAATCAAAAGAGTTAAGCGAAAGCGCTAGTTTTTTTGCTGCTAAAAGCAAAAGAGTACCATTAGAGTCATTATTATGATTTGATTTGTTTTAGAAGTAGGATAAATCTTCTCTGATGTATGTCTGATAAATCTTCAAAGCCGTTTAAATTCAGAAAGATAAATCAATTGAATGTTAGTCGATGGTGATTCCCTTATATATTGGAAAATGCAGTTTTTCAGCAGAATAATGCTTATAGCCATATGTGGCAATTGTCATCTCATGTAATCCCCATAACGCCAATGACGATGTCCTTCCTTGGCCTGCCACATGATAGATCGTCTCATCTGTATATTATACTATAAATTTACGTATATGTCACAAGTGTTAATCAATATGGCGATATGAGGCGATAAAAAAAAAACGTAATGTGGGAGTCTTAACTCGGGGATTCGATTTTCTAAATTTTCTTTTCGATCAGCATTTTTATTTTCTAGGTCGATTATCAAAGATGTCACATTCACATCTATCGACGCGTCAACGAACAGGGAAAGCTTACATTTTAAACTTACACTCGTGTTAAAGACATACGCGTTTTTTTTCCTCGCGTAAAATCCTGCGTCTCTCCCGATCGAAAAATCTTCCGTATACGTACGATGGAAATTTCGGTATGTTCGAAACTGCGTGCTGCGATAGCCGTTTATTTGTGAGACGTATCCATCACGCGTTTACAATTTATACCTAAGAGCTCCGATCGCGTGCAACGCGCGTAACCGGCGACGTATATAGCTTACTTGACATATATTCAATATATAAATAATTACAATTCGCAACGAATTCGATACACGACACACTCTTTATCATTTTCGTTCAGATAAAATAAGTTACACAACACAACTCTAGAGTCTAAAGATTTTGGATGTTTTTTTTTTTACAACGTAAAATCCGTCACGTCCGCCGACAAGACGATCGAATACGTGCTGCGTTATAACAGCGGACATCATACCTTATTAACTTTTAATATAAATGCATGATCTCTATATCAGACGCTCGTATCCTTTTTGTATACTTACGAAGTTAATACACGTAGAAGATATTTAAATAAATATATACGTTGTGAAAAGAAGCGCGGTCGACTAGCGGAGATATCTCTAACGTACTCTGTACCTTCCTCCAAAGTTCTCCAAACTATACACAGTTAAGATAGGTATTAACCGTCGATTAGAGATCTCATGATTACAACAGCGAGACTAAATAAAAAGGTAAATTTTCTCAAGTATTCTTAATACGTAGATTCCAAAAATAACAATCTCTTTCGTTTTGGTACTTGATCCTCGCGCATTTTCTCCCTGGTGAATTACTCCAGTTCAGTTTGTCATCGAAGAATGCGTTCGCTTGAAAGTTTCAAGAAAACAAATCGCAGGTATTCTTACACTAGTTCCCATTGAAGTTTGTAGTATAATCCGATTGTTACGTAGATTACGTAGATTACGAGATATTTCTCTATCTTATTATGTCACTTTCTTCTCTTTCGCGGGCTGTATCTCATTCTCCTCGTTTCCATTGTCCTCGCCCACGTCAGCGGAAGCATAATCGAGGGACTCCTTTTTATTGTTATCTTTATTACAACTGGAACTTTCGGAATCCTCGACAATGTCTTGCTGCTCTAGAAAATCCGTAGGTACAAACTCCATTTGGTCTTCGTTATCGTTTAAATCCGGCGGAGCTGGCAGTTCGCAGAAATGTAGCCTCTCGTCTCCGTCGTTAATCTCCTCGCCACCCGGATCGTCCTCCTCGTGCAAACTCATAAGCTTGTCGAAGTCCGAGGAGGGCGTGACGTCCTCGTTGTTCTCCGAGAATATCTCCGTCGGGCTGAGAGGTATGTCTAAGGGCTCCAGCTTCACGGTCACGCACGGCGACGTTGGCGTGACCGGCCGCTGTAGACGTATTTTGGTAAAGGGCCTTGGCTCTATGGGTTCGGACTGTTGTCGCTTTTGCGCACGTTTAGGACTAGAAGACATAGATACCCTCGAGGGTGTCGCTTTATTCTCTTTGGATTCTGTGGTACTTCTAGGAACTACATGTTGAGACGACAATGGCTTCGTTTGAGGTATAAGTAATGGTGACTTCGCGTTCTATCGATACAAAAAAAAAATACAAGTAAATTTAAAGTTTTCGTACGACGAAAGTCTAATTGTAACAATAAATCGGCGATGATCGGCTTACTTGGGACGAGGGACTCGGACCGGCTAGTCCCTTCACCTGCAACGCTTCGGCGGCGTTCAACAGTTGCGGCAATTTATCGTGAGCGACGTTAACTTCTCCGCGATACATGAACTTAACCAGCGCCTCCACCTCCCAGAATTTCAGGTCCTTCATCAGAATGATGGGATGTTGACATGGATTCTCCCGTAACAGGTCTGCCAGGTAGTCGCTGCAGGAAGATAAAATCATCTTGTGGCATTTCAGAGACCGTCCCTCGCATGCCAAGGTCACATCGACAAACTGTTCCGTGTCCAGTAACGACGGGAAGCTATTTTGCATATTACTATGGTAACTGTTCCACCTTAGGCAAACCTGAAACACGCGAAAAAGAACGAGCTTAGTAAGGATCCGTATTGGATTATATTTTCATCTTGTAACAACACAAGTGATACGCAACCTGCTTCAGAATTTTTGCGACCCGTTCGGTTTTTATAGCCGAAAAAAATATAAAATTTCTTTATCTTTTATTTTATAAACTACCGTAGTATACAGTTTGCAAATCTTGATCCATTCGAAAACTTAATCTATACAATTTTATTTTTATTCATTTTTTTTCTAAATATTATGTCACTCAATAAGTCGCCTTATGAGCGGCTGTGCCCAATTATCATACTAACATATGTGACAAATGTTTACAGTTTTACTTGAGATGCATTTTTAATAATTTAAGAATGCATTTTTAAGAATTTATATTTGAAAACGTAAGCTTATTGCAATAAATAAATGACATTTGTAAAATATTAGACTTTTATAAATTATCTCGACTTTTTTATTTCGTTATCGATGAAATAAAATTTATGTGACCTGTAAGATTTTGCTGAAAATACGGACATAGGCAGGAGCTTGCATATTTCCTTCGGTTTAAAAAAGATTAAACATCACTGTTGTATAATACGTACAACACACAAAGAAATCTACGTACTTCTGTGGGTTGCTGATGCACGACGTTATGGGGCACTTGATTAGTTTGTCGCGATGGCATTTTGATAGTCGTAGGTGCAACTTGCTTCACTTTCAACGGAATTGTTTTTAACACAAGAGTCTTTGGTTGCCGTGCTTGCTGCTGCTGCTGCGGCTGCTGTTGCTGAGGCAGCGGCGCCGGTGCGATATTACGAATGTGAGGTCTCACTAAGGATTGCGTGGCGATCCTTATAGCTTTTGTACTTGCACTGCCTTGAGACGTCGACTGCAAAACTACGACAAAAAAATAAATGTCATTTTACGTGATTGTAAGTCAAAAGAATGCTGTGGAAAGAGAGAAAAAGTGAGTCGAGCGACGGGCACGATTCTATTTTGAAGATCATCTTTGAAGTTAGAGGAATTGAAATATTGGATTAAAAGTTGAAAAATGTTTGACAATTAATTCAATTAAAGTATCAATTCGTTGAATTAAAAGTTGGAAAATAGAAATCTTATAACTAAAAGTCTATTTTAATTAATAAACGCAAAATGAACATAAGACTTTATAGTTAATTTAATTGAAATACCAATTCGTGTGTTTAATTAAAAGTTATAAAACTTATAGCTAAAAGTCTATTTTAATTAATAAATATAGCAAAATATAGACGTGGGGCCTAAAATTAAGAATTAATTTAATTAAAATATCAATTCGTTAATAAAAAGTAAGTTTGCAAAACACAAAACTCACTGCTAAAATTTCATTTTAATTAATCAATATTGGCAATTCTGATTGCAAGATATGCCTAACTGTATTTACCATGATAACGCCTGCCGATCAGTCTACCGCCGTGATGCACCCTAAGATGCCGGTGGAGATTCGTCGTGCCGCACTGGCGCGGATTCGCGCCGCCCCTGACGACGACCGCACCGCAGATGCGGCACTGGGCGCGCAGCGGATCGTTAGTGCACAGGTCGAAGTGCGCCCAGACCGCGCTGGGGTTCGCCATGGCACGCAGGCTGCGCGCGTGGGAGCGCACGCGGTGTGTGACGCCCCCGTGCCGGCCGGACGACGACGACGAGGACGACGACGGCGGCGGCGGCGGCAGCAGCGCCGTCGGCGGCGGCGGCGTCGTCGACGTGGGTGGCATGCTCGTCTCGTCGAGATAGCAGTCCTCCTCGTCCTCCGGTTCCTGCTTCATCGCCAGGTTCCCCCTGATATCCGCCGTGGAGATGGCCGTCGTCGTCGTCGTCGTCGTCGTCGCGACGCAGGTGCCGACGACGATCGGTGTGCAAACTCGGCGCCGGTCTCCCCCGCCGCTCTGAAACAAATCTCCGAATTAACGATCCGATGAATTTGCGAGTCACCATCTGCGTCATCCATCCGTCTCACCGGGACGGATTTCATTGTAATTTTAAGAAATGACTTGGCCAATACATATAATCGTTGCAGGCACACGCCGTTTTTCGGCCGATGAAGATCGTCGTGTTTTTATAGGGCTCGGCCGTTACATAGATACGGCTCTGTGCCGGGTATTCCTTATCGCCTAAACGACGATAATCGCCGGCCGCTTTTTATAGGAACGCGCGATTCACAGCCGCGCGGCATTAAAATAGGCGTCACACGCGCGCGCCCACAGGGAACGGTCGCCGCACCGGGATGACGGTGGCTTAACAGCGAACTTAAGTTGTATGGATGGAAAGATCTCCCGCGTAAATTTTTTAATCTTTATACTATAACGACGATCGTAACGACAGCCGATAAATAAAAATAAGATGTATTAAATGATTACACTGTTCAACAAAAAAAAAATGCATTAAGTAAGAAGATAATCGTTTCTTGTTTCTTCGAATGCTGAATACAAACTTGTTTATCAATTTGCTTCACAATTTTGAGAAATTAATTGTCATTAAAGGTAGGAGAAAGAGACAATTTAATCGAATTTGATATATTAGGACTATGATATGTGACGCGTTTGAAAAATTTTATTGCAAATCAAAATAAAAATTGTTAGGATTTTTAGCCCTTAAAAGGAATTTGTTATGTTGTTATTGTTAAAGAGATATTTGAAACTAAATCGTAACGAACAAAGTCACAGTTACTTTTTTTCAATAACTGTAACTTAACTTTGTTATTTGTTTCTATAACTGTAAGTTAACTCTGTTATATTTTTTGCAATTATGTAACTAATTTAATAGTACTTTATATATATTTCAATTATGTATTATGTAATTCTAAGAGAAATATAATACAATATAATACAATGATTTTTTCTACTTAAAATTGTACAGCACGTAAATGTAAACCAATCTTTTTCTCTGATTTTAATAGTATCAGTATCATCCATGCAGTTCTGTTATGATAACAGAAAAGTAGCTGAAAAGTAACGACTCATTACTTTTTAAGTAATATAACTGTATATAAATAAGTTTAAGTAATGTAACTGTCATATGTTGCTTTTTAGAGTCGGTAACTCGTATAAGGGAAAATTTTACAAAGTAACTTTCCCAATCTTGTGCTTGATAGGATAGATATTAAGTAATGTAAAAGATTTTAAGGGGTAATTCATCACATAAATTCAAAACGAAAACTTTATATGACTATATGTCTGAAACGGTTTAGTTTCAAAGAAAAAGTACAGAGTTGCAGAGTATCAAAGTTGAAGGAAAAATTTCACTTTTTCCAAAAATTTCGAAAACTACTCGGGTTTGATGAAGCTATGTATGTTTCAAGTTTTAAAATAAACCGAGTGGTTTTCGAAATTTTTGAAAAAACGAAATATTTCTTTTAATTTTGACATTCTGTATCTCTTCGAAACTAACAAAGCCGTTTCGGATATATCGGATAACATTCTCACATCAAGTTTTCGTCTTGAATTTGTGTGAGGAGTCATAAAATCTTTTACATTATTTAGTTATTATTCATCCTGTAGAGTCTATTGCGTCAAAGTTGCGACTTGGTCAACTTATATATGCCATTAAGGATCCAGACAACATAAAATCAGGAAACATAAGACATCTCAAAGCACTTAAAGCAAAGTTAAATTTGAGACTGGTTTTCTTTGTTCTAAATGATTAAATACCAATCTAATCTTAATCTTTAGTCTGATTGATGACGGACATTAGACATCTTTTAGTCGTCTCTCGCAAAGATATCTTTAAGATGCCTTTTAGACATCTGACACTTTTAAGACATCTTATGTGTTTCACTTTATGTTGTCTGAAGATCTACTAAATATTTTTTTATTACATTAATAATTATCAGATTGATATTCAATGATTTGATGAATTTTTAAGTTTGAATATACATAATTAAAAAATATTTAGTAGATTCTTAATAGCTTATAAATATAATAAGTCACAACTAACACAACAGAGTTTATGATAAATATCTTTTTAACTATAATTAACACAACATTATCCTCTCAAAAAAATCATTTTTTATCAAAATACATAAAATTATAGTGTTTTAAAAAATTTGGGCATATATTGAATTTTCATATAATATAATTTCAATTCCTTTTTTATCAATTTAAAATAACTTGAAGAGAAAAACTAATAAATTGTATAATACACTACCGGGTACACTCGTGACTCGATTCTGTACGATCATAGCGGCACGCGGCGGCCAAAAGGTTAAAAATTTTAGACATGTATCCGAAAACTGAAGCAAGAATCACCATTATTTCCAGAAACGCAAAAGTGTAATGAATCCCTTTTCCCCTCTTCTACCCTTCTCAATCTCTCAAAGGGCATAAAGCTAAAATCAATGAATCTCTGTAACTTTATGTGAATTTCTTTGTTCAAGCGTAAACAAAGAAGCGTAAACAAACGCGTTATATTCTATATCCACTGTTATTCCACGTGCGAATTCCAAAACTCGTAAGTTACAAAAAGAAACAATCAACATAACAGAATGCGTATATAATTGTAAATGTATTGTGTAAAAAAGAAATAAAAATACATATTAGTAAATTTGATTTGCTTGTGCTGCTTCACTTTCTAAAGACTACGATACTTGAAAATATCCAAGTACAAAATGATTGATAAAAAATCCAATATGGATATATTTCCACTGGAAAATGTGAAATGTCAATATTAAATATTTTAACTGAACGTATTTATGATATATATTTTTGTAATTAAAACTTCAACTTTTTACAGTAATGTTTTTATAATTAATTTTTCTTCGATTAAATTTAAATAATAATTTAATAATTAATGACATTTACAATTAAAATGTATGCATTTTGTAAAATTGTAATTTTAGTTTCGATAATATTTTACATAATTACATTATTTTTCTTGAATTAAATTTAAATAATAAAATAATTTTATATTGATATAAATTTAAAATATTAAAATGCATGCACTTTATAATATTCTAATTTTAATTTTAATTTTTATATTTTTATAAATTTAAACAAAATGATTTTATACTAAATTGAATTAAAATTTATTTCATAAAATTCTAATTTTGGTTTTTAATTTTTTAATAACTTTTTATAATTAAATTTGATTAATAAAATAATTCTGTGCGCTTCGTTAATTTTTATAGGCATTTTACAAAACTATCTATCATTTTTATTTAATTCAATAATTTTTCTTAAGTTAAATTTAAATAGATAAAAAATTATATATTTAACTGAATGCATAATTGAAATTCTGACGTTTTTACAATTATTTAAATTTTATAATTTCTACAATTATATTTTTATAAAAACTTTATATGTACAGTAGCCATCAGAGATGTATGTATATCGCTTGTGCGCGGAGCAAGCCAAGCGACCGAATTCGCCATGGGACTCGCGACGTCGACGGGCCACTCCACGGCATCCACGCGCGTACACACGCCATCTTCCCTTTTCTCCCTTTTTTTTTTCCTCCCTTCACACGCGCGGCCGTACGTTAAAGGGCGCGTGTGCGCCGCGCAACACGTTTCGGTGGCTGGCTGCTCTGCAGCGTTCGGTGGGTGCGAGTGCTCTTATACTCCTCGCACGTCATCGGCATCGGAAGCCGTTCGCAAAATTCTCTTTTTCTCCTCCCCCGCGGATGCCTGCCACATCGAGGAGCGTCGTCTCCACGTTACCGTCCCGTCCCGTTCCGTCCCGTCCTCCCGCATTCGCACCGGTTCCCTCTCTCCGCGCACCCACTCTTGTCTCGCGCGCGTCATCCGCGCGGCCGTTCGCCGTTCGCGGGCGGAGGATCGGCGGTTACAACAAAACGCAGACGGCGTTGTGACAAGTGCGCGTGACAGGCCGTAGTAGGTGCCGCGGAAGAGAACGGGCTCTTATTTCCTCGCTACCGCGATTCGCAGCGCGGTCACTCGACGCGTATCCGCGTGAGGCATCGCACGCGCGCGCGCGCGCGCGCGTGCTACCGATCTTCGAAATCGCGAATAACGATCGGCGGTATATCGGTGTGTCGCACACTGTTACTCGCCGATCGATTTCGCGGAAGCGCGAGCGCTTATATCGCGCCGACAGCTCTCGTTCTCACCTCTCGTCTCGAGTGTTCCGCTGTCCCTCGCCGCGATAACGCCGCGGCGTGTTGCTCTCGCCGAACGATCGGGACCGGTCGTTTCCCCGTGGCTCGGCGTTGACGGATGACGACGGTAGAGAAGACGGAGAGGCGATATCGTCGATATTACCGTGAACAGAAGAGATCGACGGTCGCGCGCGTGTGTCCGTCCCACGCGCGCGCGCGCGCGTGTCTACCCTCTTTCTCTCTCTCTCTCTCTGTCTCGTTCTCTCGACGCTCTCCCTCTCCTTGCCCCTCGTTCGGCGTTCCCTCTTACGATTTACTGTATCCTCGTGAGATCACCAGCTAGGGCGAAGATCGTCGGCCACGCGCCTGCACCCTTCGATGGGCGGCCGTATAATATACGATATCCCGAATATATGTATATATACGCGCGTGCCGGTGCGTATTATAGTCAGCTAGGAGAGACTCGCGCGCGATGAGAGATCGTTAGCGTCGTTTAACGACGGTCCGCGACGACACGGAATTGGGTGGTGGCCCCGTATACTATATACTGTGTTTGGCTCGGCCGCACGCGCGCGCTACGCCGCAGCCGCCGGGAACGATTTTCTCCGAAGCCGAACCCGGGAGTGACTAAAATCGAAATCGGTGAACGAAACAGGGGCGCGTCGGGACGCGCATGTGCGACGGCGTCGCCGGTCGTCGACGCATATTATCCGTGCCGTGCCGCGTCGCGGCCGTGTCCGCGCGCCGCTATCGCGTGCGCGCGCGTGCGTGCGCCCGGCCATCCTCTCTCTCTTCCTCTCTTCCGTCCCCTTCCGCCCTCTCCCAATCCTATATCTTCCCCTCCCCCCCTTTCGCTCGCTCTCTCTCTCTCTCTCTCTCTCTCTCTCTCTCTCTCTCTCTCTCTCTCAATCGTTTTCCCGCCGTCCGTCCCTCGACTCCACACACCGCTCGGGATTACTAACCGACCTGACGATATCCGACCCGACCCGAAACGCCGCCGCGCGCCGCCGACACGCGCGAATTCCGATCGATCGGAGTAGCGTCGGCATTGTCGACCGGCCGACTCTGTCGGCCCGCGCGCTCGCCGCTTCCCGCTTCCGCTAAGCTGCTACCGGCTCGATCGCCGTCGCGATATCGGCTGAAGCGAAGCGCCGCGCCGGAGGAGCAACAGAGCGGAATTCTTCATGCATGCATGTCATCAGAAAGTATTATCGCAAGAACGTCGAGAAAGAGAGAGATGAAACGTGATTCGAGTCCCGATCCGATCTTCGTACACGTAACAAAAGACGTGCGCGCGCGCGCGCGCACAAGAATGACGGAGCCGGCGCTCGGCGCCTCTCCGTAATACGGGTAAGCAGAAACCGCGTCGTGACGGGAGCATCGTATTTTTGGAACTGAACGTATAATTCACGAACGCGCGCGATTTCATCGCCCGCAAGAAGCGAACGAAGATTCCGTTTTCGTCCGTATAATTGTTCATCTCGCGATCAATTTTTAAGGGTTCGCGGATGTTAATGTGAAACGAATATATGAGTATCGTCGAAGCACGAAAAGTCCAACTGTAAAACTCGTAAAAGTTATACATCTCGTCCGACGATCGAAATATTAACATTTATTTTGTGTTATGTAGCGCATATCATGGCATATCAATCGCTTTGACTTGTTCAAAGAGCCGGTCTCACCATCTCCAATTAGCTTGATCGGTCGATATTACATATATTTAAGAATTGCCAACTGCAAAACTTAAAACTATTGTATTATTTTATTTTTCTTATCCATTTTCTGCAAATTATTAATTATTAATATAATTTATATATATATATATACAATATAATATTTTTAATTAATAATTAATAGATTTAATTATAAAATAATTAAGAAATTAGATAGGAGACGAGCAGTTTTAAGTTTTGCAATTGGCAATTCGTAAATGTAATCGGCCGATCAAATTAATCGGAGACGATGAGACCGGTCCAAGGTGTTCGTCTTCGTCGACTGCAAAATGACTTTCCAAGTACTGATTGTTACAATAAATATTCTGTTACGAGCAACAATAAATGAGATTATTGTCACTGCAGTCGATCATAAAATTTTCTTTCTCACTTTGGTCAAACTTTGGCCAAATATTTATTTCATTTTAAATTTATATATATATATATATATATAAACGAAGGTTCAGCCGAAGAGAACAGACGTAATATGTATGTAGATAAAATGTCTTAGAAAATGAGGAGATCCTACATGTTCAAATTCTGGCTGGGATATTTTTCGCATTTCTTTAAACTTCTTGTAGTTTTATAAGATGTTTGTTTAACGTCAATAATGTTACATTGTATACCGATTTATTAATAATGCGAAATGAAAGTTTCTGGCTTCGGTATAAAACTATACTACTTTCAAAACTAAATAGTAATCATATATGTATGATTGAAAAATATATAATGTATAAAGATGAATTGTAAAGATCACAAAAATTATTCTGAATTCTGTCTGAAATATATTTTTATAAAAATTCTTAATGGATTTACAAGATGTTCATTCAATGTCAGTATTACATTATAAGTATATTAATTATAAGTATATATTTTAATAATGCAAAATAGAAATTTCTGGCTTCGACATAAGACTACTACTTTCAAAACCAAACGATAATCGACGTGTAGTTCAAAAGTTTACATACAAAGGCGAATTATAAAAAAAAAACTCGCAAAAATTATCATTAAGCAAAATTCTGCCTAATAACCGAAAATATCGATGTTTATTCATATTATTCACTTCAAGTGCTCCTCCGTCAACTGAAAAATGACATTCTTCATAAAATAAAAAATGTGAAATTAATGTATCCGATTGAAGCAATAAGCTAATTTTTGAATTTTTAAATTTATATGAGATTCCTGAAATTGAGGATCCAAGATAAATGGTTTTATGTAATAAAACCTTCTGTCTTTATTATTCACTATTTTCTTTTTGCCGCTTTTTCCTTTTTTCATTATATAAAAACTGTGGCAGGTCTTGCAACAGCCACAACTACCTTCTTAAGTCCATTTTTTCCAACATTGACGTATATTCGCTAAATATATTGGCCTATACTTATATGGTTAATATACATGCCATTATGTAGATATCAATCGTTATACCGTATATATTTATATATAACCAACATTGGCTCAGCATTGGTAACCAGTGCACTATGTAGGCGTAGTACATTGGCCATGCCATCTGAAGCCGGCTTAGAGTTGTACGTCTGTTTCGGAAAGTAAAAAAATTCAAATCCAGAATCTGGCTAGGATATTTTTCACAAAAAAAAACTTGCAGATTTACAAGACATTCATTTAACGTCAGTAATGTATAATACATCAATTTAATAATGTAAAATAAAAATTTTTGGTTTCAACAACTACTCTCAAAACGGAATAGTAATCGGTGCGTGGTTCAAAAGCCGTATAAAAGCGAATTGTATAAAACTCGGAAAAATTATCATTAGCCGCAAAATCTCGCACGACCATCGAAAATATCAATATCAATATTTTATAATAATTTATTTATTTATCGAGGAAAATCTAACGCACGTAGCAAAAGAGTGCTTGCCGATAGTTCGGTTTTCAGAAATAGATATGGATGATTTCTCATGCGATATAGACGCAAATGATCCCTACAATAAATAGCGTTAGGCGCAAATAAGAAGCAAATAAACCGTTTCTGCCGTTTTTTTGCGTTGGCCTCGCGTTATTAATAAAAGAAGCATGCATAGCATTTTTTGATGAAATCTATAATAATAAATATATATTTTATAATAAATAAAAAAATTTCGTCAATAAATAAATCTAACGAAATTTATTTCTAGATTATCGAGGAGAGAGAGATAGCGGAACACTCGTAATGATTCATCATTTTTAATGTAATTTGTATAGTAGCATAGTATAATATATTAATTAAATTAATTATACATATTAAATATTGTTTTTTTTTATATTACTGTGTAACCGAGTAACAATACAGACGAGACTAGTAGAAGGTGACCTTCGTAGCACTACCCCTCTTTTTTATTTCCTTGGCGCAAAAATTAAGATTATTTGTCGTTTTTTTTCTTTACGTTGTTAATTAACACGGATATCCCGTTTACATTTATGCTTATCTATTTTCAAGTGTACTCCTCATTCTCGAAGCGCGACAGCGTTTTTCATCGATTGATCGTTAAAACGGGGGGAGGGGGGGAGAGAAGGGGAAGAGAAGGGGAGAGAAGTCCGCTCCGACTTGACAAATTATTTTACGCGAAAGGATGGTCGATACAAAGAGCTAATTGAATGAATAAAACAAAGCGTTAGTTCTATCGCTCGTCATTTCAAGGGCATAGGCAACGATGAATTATCAATTCTCGGATGTACCGACTATCGAGAGCGTGAAACGTTAAATAGTCTTTTCAGGCATGATTGAAGTAAACGCCCTCCAAAAATATCCGGACAGCCAAAGTTCCGCGTCGAAGGCGGGATTTTGCAAAAGTTTACCGCTACCGAATTTTATCGGTATAACAGAATCTGTGTTAACAGAGAACACGATGGCAGATTGATCGCAGAAGTCGAGCAGAATCTGCCTTGACCTTTCAAATGATATATTCCATTCCGCTCGATTTCCGCCAGGCAGTCTGCTGTCGGATTATGTCAAGCCCAGGCGAGACTGCCACAATGTGGCTGGCGCTCGAATCTACTTAGCAAATTGCTAACATACTGCTAATACATCTCGCCTACACGGTATATGTATTCATACATTGTTTTCAAGACGACATAAGTATATACGTCGAACGAAACGTGAAACGTTGTCCCCGTCAATAAGCAATGTGTCCATAAATTTTTTTTATATTTTTCTACATAAATTTTTTCAGCGACTGTGACGTAGACTTCGATGATTACATCTTCTTTACTGTATCGCACATCCAATTACGGTGAGATAATTCCAGTAAGTTGCCAGTGCCTTCGAAATTCGTCGAAAACGATCGACAGTAAGACGTGTAAGATACGCAGAGATATTTCATTAGGGTGGACTGTAAACTGTAGCGTGGCGCTTTTGGGCAACAAATCTTCGTAAAGATGTTGGCCTCTCGTTGTTTTTCGGACAAGACACGTTTTTTTTAACGGCTAGAAAATTTTTTTGCGTATCAGTGGCAGTTTAAAAAAGCTATATCATCTCACACACGCGCGCGTTTTTGTCGTCGCAACGCTAAATACTTGTTGTCATATTCGTTCTAACTATCCGTACGGCAATCGTCTCTCTATACGCAATCGGATTTTCCGTCTCTATTCCGTCGACAGCAATTTTCTCTCGCCTCTGTACGCGTGTACTGCAAGTCCGCACACATTGTGCGGACGGCAGCAAAATATCTATCCAGGTATCTTACGTCACAAGAGTAAAAAGGAAAAACAAGAATGTCAGATACCGACAAAAACCGAGGCACGACGGATTCTCGGTGCCGTCGTCGTGTTGTGAGAATCTGGTGGGTTACTCACGAGCGTTTTGCCATACCGAAAATCGACTAGCTAGACTAAAAACGAGTTCGCGTTTAGCAACGATCGAGTGTGTAGGTGTATTGTGTATAAGTGTGTGTGTGTGTGCCGATATAACTTGGCTTCTTTTATTCATTACAAATTGACGTTGTGCAAAGTATATCGATGTACGATGACGTTAAACGAAATAATCGTGGTGATGCACGTTTATTTTTATTCTGTAGTGTAATGGGCTCTCACAATAACAATTATGGTCGCTACACGGAATTCGATGACCGCCAATTTTTTTTTGTGACGATTCGCACCGGGGGCGGGAGGGGGCAACAAGGAATTAACATTGGTAATGGAATAATAATTATTATAATATATGCAAGGTGTTATTTGGAGCGTACTTATATGTATATACTCGCGGGGAGAGACAGCTTTCATCATTGGAATTATCCTTGTCCAATCGAATTCGGTAACCGGTCTCACTCTTTCCGTGAATCGCGAGTATCTGTTAACTGGCGTCGTTTACTTGCCGACGATTAGCAACATCGGAAAGGCCAATCGATGGATGTGTAGGTGGTAGCGCTTTATCGTCGAGGAGGCTGAGCAACGAGGTCGAAGAACAAATCGCACCTTTAAATAACGGCCGTTGATCAACGGCCGCCTTGTCTTACGCTGATCACGATCATCGACCGGGCCCGTTCTGAGCCGTCAAACAATCAAGCGGCACATGCGAAGTACGATGGACAGCAGCGAGAAGAAGGCCCCTCGCGCTGCGGAGCGGCGTAACAACAGGACACGTAGCATTATCATCAGTATCCCGAGTTGCACGGCCTTGTGGAGCCAATACAGTCTGTAAACAGATAAGTAAGTCAAGATATGAAGAGAAAATGATATGTAACCTTCTTCCATAAACAATAGATAGACAAATATAAAGTTACTTAATTATCGTTTTAGAAGCCAAGGCTTCTAAGAACATATGTAAATGTATATTTATAATAAAATATTATGAATAGATAGCAGTGAGAAAAAGAAGCAAAAAGTATGTGTATTCGACATTAACGCTGTTTAAAATAATTGGTCACCAAATAAGCGGAGTAAAAACGGAAGAAAAGTAAGCTCATAGAAAAAAAGATATAAACTCTATATAAACCTTATAATATAAATTCTAAATTTTCTAAAATTGTAAATACATTGACAAATAGAGAGTCTTTCTTTACTAATGAGACTTTCTTTACTTTTGATTTCTGAACCAAGGTATTTACTCAAATCTTGTAAAAAAAATTGCCTGAGAATTCTTAAATTTTCTAAGTATTTTCATTAAAAATTCTAAGATTAGAGAATTTTTTAATGCAGCTTTAAATAAATTGGAATGCAAACAAAATGAATAAACTGCACATAATAAGTTAATAAAAGATAAACTTTTTATGAGACTATATCTATCCTGTTTTACAAGAGCCGCAAAATCTATAGAATAATTAGCATCAAAGAAGGCTTACTACAGTGTTTTTCAGAAAAAAAAACAGCATTTAAATTTAAAGATAAAAGCCAAAATTTTTCTGATTGAGTCTTAATAAAATTCCAATTTTTAAGCATAAAAAGATTCCCTGAAAATCACAGATTCTCCAAAGTCTTTTCAAGTGGTAGACACTTTCTAAACAAACTCTAGCAGAGAGTTCTTTTCGACAGGGAGATTGCACTGTAATAAAAAAAAACCTGATTGCTGAAAAGCGAAGAGGTATGTCTTACTTTGTGATGTATGAACGAGCAGCTGGCAGTGTGTCCGGACTCTCTTTCAATATAAACTGTCGTATTCCCAGAATGTAATGCTCCAAGTACGACGGCCAGTCGATTTGCCTGACATCGAACATGAATGTTTCCCGATCCTCCGGGCTGAGTTGCTCACCCAGTCGTCGCACGTTGTCGTCTCTAAAATTCCACTGTTTCGTACTGAAGTACTCCAAACACTGGGCGGCTTTGGAAAGTTTCGACTGTACGCGGACCATTATAGGCCGCGTGCCCTTGAGCCGAGCGAGAGTATCTAAGATATACGCAGGTAATATGTGCTGAAATGTCACGCACAATTTGTTTATCATGGCGGAGCTGTGGCAGCGACCGTCCGGATACCAGAGCGCGTCGTTCGCCGGATGCAGCCGGCAATATTTGAACGACAAGTCAACGAACTGCTTCCAGGTTATAGGATTCTGCTGGCCGGTGCAGCAGTTGTAAATCGGGATGGTGTCGATGCGCTGCGTGGCGGTCCTCCATGCCGCGCAGATCATCAGGTTAATCACGATGTCGACGGGTACCAGATCCGCGACCTTGTCCTCGTGGCACAGCATGGTTCTGCAAGCAAGAGACGCGCGATTTTTAAAAGGGACAGATTTCATCTCAAAGATGATGACTTGTACAGATTACGAGCGATCGCGATATTAAAATAACAATCCCAGCAAACACCGAGTTATATGTAACGTACTTATTAGTTGTAACTTAACAATAATTACACATAACTATAATTACACATGTGTTATATTATAGTCAGGGCATATTTAAAATATTGTATTTGAAATACAATTTGTATTTTGTATTTCAGCGCAGCACATAAAAGCATTTTGTATTTAAAAAAAGTTATTCAATGTATTTTGTATTTGAAATACTAAATAAATTATTGATAAAAACTCTACAACAATTAATAGTAGCTTAAATTTTTCTCATATGACAATTAACAACACTAACTATTTTCGTCAAGTTTCAAGTAATAACAAGTCATCAAAGTCAAATTTCATAATCTCACATTAATAAATAGATTGCTCGTGCGGTTGATACAGGACATTAGGATTGTTGAAAAGTGTAAAACAACTTTTCTTTCTCTCTCTAACAGTAGAGAGGGGACTGTTGGAAGGGGGGAGGGAGTTTAACATTATATATATTATTGTATTCGAAAGATTAAATTAAAAAGTATTTTGTATTTAAAATACAAACTTAAAAGTACTTTGTATTTTGTATCTTAAATCGAAAGATTGAAAGTATTTTGTATTTTGTAATTCAAATACTAAGCTTGCCAGTATTTTATATTTTGCATCTCGAATACTTTAATGATGTATTTTGCCCGGCCCTGAATTACAGTTGTATTGTTGAGTGGGAAATTACAACTATCAAGTACGTTACATGTAAACTTGGCGTTTGCTGCAGGGATACTTCAATATATTTATTCTAATTCTGTTATAATACTTGATATTGCAATCACGCCGATCTCGCCCATTACCTGAAGAAGCCCTTCCCAGCGGCGGCGATAATCCCCGTGGGACCATTGCAATTGTCCACCCAACCAGCAACCGGTTCTCTGTACGACGACAGTACAATCGATGGCCTGACAATCGCCACAGGTAGGGAGCCCTTTTCCCGCTGGAGCATCCGCTCGGCCAGTGCTTTGGTGAATGTGTACGTATTTGGTCGGCTGGCGATCAGATTCGGCGTGAACTCTTCGACCATCTTGTCGTCCATCCACTCTGTCAGAGCGATCACCTGATCGGGTTCCCGCCCCACCGGGTATATCTCCTCGGCGACATCGTTCCGATCGCAATTGCAGTACGCCGTTGACACGTGAATGAACGCCTGCGATCAAAACAATTGCATTTACTTTACGGACACGAATTGCGAAAGATACGGAATGCGAACGCCCTTTCTTTTGCTTCGTGTCCATCGAACGTGCGCTCCTAATAATGGCGATAATGCGTCAAAATGTGTCGACGAGGCAAATTTCGAATGACGTACACTTAAAAGGAAAAAAAAAAAAAAAAAAAAAGAAAAAAAGACTCTGAGGAAGAACGAGTATCACTGATGATCAATTACGCACAGTGCCATCAATATAAATGTCAAGTTGTACAAGCTCTCTGCTCGCTGACACAACACTAAAAAAGATCGTAAAATTTATCAAAGACAATCGCTTCTTGTGCGTTCGGCATAAAATGCATAATGGAACAATAAAATGCTTTTATTTTACGTTTCGAAACTTCCATATAGTATCACTTGACACTTTCATTCACCATGTTTTACTCACGCTAATTCGTGATTGATCTACGTTGTCGTGAGAGAACAAATAAATTATTGTTCGTTAAATTCATGTGATATTGCTGAACGATCGAGAGATGAGTGATTCAGAATTACGCGCGAGTACAATTAGAGTGCAGAGGAACAAATACACTCGTACATAAACCGGCTCTATATTTACCTTTGTTGAATGACGCAAATCGAATGTATTTCGCTATTTAAGCGGAAACTCGGACAGACTATGGTTGTCGATTAATTAAAAATCGATGTCGTACATCACGAGCAAATGGAAACGAAGTGTTCGAAAGTACATTGCCTCGAGGGGTGTATCTTTCGAGATGATCGGTAGAGATGTGAACCATCCATAGGCAAAAGACACTGTAATCTTTCGGAAAGAGTACATTCGTGAAAACGTGGATCGCTAACAGACTAATTTGTCTTTTATCACGCGATTTTTCGCTTTACGATTGCGAACAGCAATCTCGGGTCTCGATGTTGGTGATTTCGGTTAGTTCGAATTGAGCAATTAGAGGAGGAAGAAAGCCCCTCCCTCTTCTCTTACCTCCACGTTGTGCATGCGGTTGCATAATTGCACCAATCTTTTGGTGCCCAACATATTTATGGTGACCGAGAGCTTCAAAGCCTCGTCAAACTTGACCGTGGCCGCCGAATGGAAAACGATCGACACGGATCGTATTAACATATTTTGATCGTCCGCCGAGATGCCCAACTCCGGCTCTGTAATGTCGCCTGCCACGGGTATGATCTTGGAAAGCTCGCCAGGAGAGTCCCGCCGTAATTTTTCAAAAAGCTGCCGAAAGTAATGTGTGATTTTAATTCGTCGAAACAGCGATCGAAATTTTTTGCTGATGCTGATGAAAAGAAAGTGATATTATTACCGGTCCATTTAAAAGCTCTTGCAACCTCTCTTGCACATTCTGGCCTTTTTTAGGTCTCATTAAAAGGTAGATATTTTTGATGTCCGGACATGATCTCAGTAGCTTCTCGACGAGAACCTTGCCCATGAAACCTGTTGCTCCGGTTATAAAAATCGATCTGTCTCTGTAAAAGTCTTTCACGGATGTGTACTCACTGCCAGCCATCGTGGCCATATCACTGTCTCTTGAACCCTTCTAAATCCTTTAAAAAAATATCATGGATTAGAAAAAGACAAAAAATACTTATTAACATAAAATTAATTTATTTAATTACGGCAAGTATCTTACCTAAATTATTTCGTTGAATTCCTTTTCAGGCAGAAAGTACTTCCCTCTGTTTCCTCGAGTGAGAGTCTCCACGTTACTACATGTTTTGCATAAAGTCATGAATGTTAAATTTGGCATTAAAATTTTATTTTTTTTTGCAATAATTTTATTTCTTTTTAAGATAATAATATGTGTTTAAAATATAAAACATATATGAATTAAATAAAATATTGCAATAAAAATATAATTTTATTATTTCACAAACGTTTGCATAAATTCATATAAAATATAAAGATATTTACATATTCGATTTTAATTGAATTTCAAAAATTTCCAATTATTTCTCTATTTTTATTTTAACCAAAAATTTTAGGAAACAAATGTGAGACAACAAATTTTTAATATGTCGGTATGTGATTTTTGTGTCAATCTTTATTGATCTTTTTAAAATAAACTATTTTTTTTTTATATATAATTCTTTTAGTCAGTCTATATTTGTAAGAGTATTAAAATAAAAACATAAAAAAACAATAACTTTTTGAAAAATTTAATATTTTATTTTAATTTGTATATCTTATTGTAATTCATCTCATTATTCTGTGCTTATAAATATTAAGAATATATCATAAAAATATAAAGATTTTTGTCATTATCTTTTAAGTTAAAGTATTATAACAACAAAAAATAATAATAAATACAATAAATTATAAAAATATATTGCTAAAAATAAATATAATTTATTTACATTTATAAACATAATTAAGTCATTCATACATTTGTTTCATATGTATATAGTTTCAGTATTTACTTTTATATAGAAAACATAAATATTAATACATTTTTCAACTTCAAACTTTTTGCAAGGACTATACGGGTTCTTAAAATAAAATTATTGTAAAACAATATAAATATCTAGAATATCTAAAATATTTGATAAAATATAATTTTAATGACCTTAATTAATTGGTGAAACATAAGCTAAATCAAAACAAAAAATACACAGAATGTTAAAAATTAGAGGAAATTTTAAAAACAATATTACTTGTTTTTAGAAATAATTAGTATATTATAAAATATATTACAAAATATATTACAAAATATATTTATTCAAATATTGTTTTTAAATCTCTTAATGTTTCAACAATATTCACTTACAAAGAATGTGATGTAACTGATTGAACAATTGAACCAATCTGATTCTTCTTGAAATATGTTATGTAAACACAAAAATCTAACAGATATGTATTTTTTTTTATACGTGCTTATTTTGAAATTCAAGGAATAAAACAATCGCTCAAAAGTAACATTTATATTTGATTCTAAACAATTATCGTCCAAAGGGTAAAATATGTAACGGTAAGATATAAAAAAACGTTTTGAGCAAAACTTTTATAGTTATTTATGTATACATTTTTACGTTTTTGTACAATTGCATATCTAGATTTTAATATTATAATAAAAAATCTTATCCACCAATAATTTTTGTAGTTTCTTTATAGTTCTACTTTTACTTCCCTTGCTGACGTTTCTATTTGATATACCGACGTTATTAAACTTATCGATAACAATTTAATGTTAAGATTGATAATCATTTCTATAGATATAAACACAAAAATTTTGCTTTCTATTGAAATGTATACAAGCAATTTAATCAATTTTACTGATATGATTATTTTATTAATTGTAAATGTTGAATGTAAGCCTGTTACATAAAAGTATGCTATGATATGTATATCTATTTATGCTAAAAAATATATTAAAAGCACATTTAAACTTATATACTTATCTTAAAAGTGGAGCATTTAACAATTCAAAAAACTTAAATAGAACAAGACAGAGGTACAAATAATATTCGATAATAATAAACAAAGGAGATTTAATGAACCTGCTAGATGTGCTACTAATATAACGTATTTTTCAAGATAAATAAATTAGTCATATAAATTCTTCCGAGTCATACAATAAAATCATAATTTAAATTAAATTAAACATATGTTTGGACCTTTTTACAATGATGAGCTTTTAATATGTTATTCTCTAGACAAAACCAAGAATTAAGCTATATTCGTGTTCTTACGCACTTTTAAGGAATGAAACAACCCTTGAAAAAAAAATCGGTTTTTTATTTCAATGCGAATATTGTCGAGACTACGAGAGATAGAAAAAAATGTTCCGAATAAAAGTTGAATGGCTTTAAGA